TGCGTGCTGTACGTGACTGATTTTAAGCTGTTAGCTTATTCATGTGAGTTGTTTTAGATTGTCTGGTACAGCATTACGTTAGCAACTGGAAGGTCATGGGTTCGATTCCCAGGGAACACACATTGATGCTGCAATAGCCTATATAGCTTCAAAAGACTAGGGTCCTGTTTACACCTGGTATTTAAAGGGTTTGTTCACCCAAAAATGAAAATTAAGTCATTAAAAATTATTTACCCCCATGCTGTACCAATCCTGTAAGACCTTCTTTCATCTTCGGAACACAAAGGAAGATATTTTTGATTAAATTTGAGAGGTGGATCATAGGCTCCTAAGGGATTGAAACTTGACGGCCCAGAAAGTCATTGAAGAAAATGTTTAAGTAGAAAATGTTCTTGTCTGAGACGAGAGCTCAAGAGATTTCCACGACGCACGTGCGAGAATTGCGCAAAGAAGTAGTAGAATAAGAATGCAATTCCCGTGCGTGCGTCGTGGAAATCTCTTGAACTCTCGTCTCAGGCCCAGAAGGAAGAAAAGGAATTCGAATAAAGTCCTTATTTTTGTTTTATTCCACACAAAATGTATTCTTGTCGCTTGATAAACTTAAAGTTGAGCCACTGTAGTTACATGGAATATTTAAATATTTTCTCGAATGACTTTCTGGGCCGTCAAGTTTCAATCCCTTAGGGTGCCTATGTAGCCGTGATCCACCTCTCAAATTTCATCAAAAATATCTTCATTTGTGTTCCGAAGACGAACGAAGGTCTTACGGGGTTGGAACAACATGAGAGTGAGTAATTAATGACTTCATTTTCATTTTTGGGTGAACTATCCCTTTAAGATGTGGTCGATTGGATCACAAATGGACGACGCTAAATACAGGTGTAAATAGGGTCTAAAACGTTTCGAGCTTGTCCACTTTCAACCACTTCCAGTAGAGTCGAAAATGCAAAAGGCTGCCTAATCTCTGTATACTGACCTATAGGAAGCCCACTAGCCAGATGAGATTTAAACTTTGTTGGCTGAAGACTTAAGTTTGGCTTGAAGACCAAATGCGTACCAAGCACAATGTTCTCTCACCGTGATTTCTAACACGCACTTCACGTTCGGCATGGCATTGTGGCTATCAAAGCTGATGCTCTCCATGTTTTTCTTTCGTCTCCGTGTGCGTTCAAATTTAAATTACATGTAAGCTTAATTTGTCCATTAGATCGAAAGATCTGAAAAAGCACATATATATATATTTACCCTTCCATAGACCTCCCCTCGAAGAAATCAGGACAGAAATGGTTAAAAGTGGACAAAAGAGATGGATTAAAACGCCAGGTTTAAACGGGAATGTGTCTCCCTCGTCTACTTGTGACCTAGGATAGGGCCTAGGATAAAAGCATTTGCCAAATATGATGTCTTGCATTCAAGGTTGCAAATTATCTGTGAACTTGTCAAACCTTTTGTAATCCACAAATACATTTACAAACTTTCCTGAAATGTCAAACACAACCCTGACCCCGATGCCTATCGTGACTAGAAGACAGCCTGTCTGCTGGGGTTTGCCCAACTGAAAAGATTCACATTCTCTTTGGTCATGTTTATGACAATGGTGCCACACACGTGCCCCTCAGACTCAGGATAGGATTTAACATGGATTTCATCTTGAGTGTCAGTTGGGTCTGAACTGGGTCAGTATGTCAGCAAATGCTCAGGTCTATGAGGTGTTGAAGTGATTGATTATAAGTAATGTTATTCAGATGGAGTCATAGAAACTGTTATCCATTTGTTGTGACTTTCAGACAGTCCTTGATTCAGTCCTTTTACCCTTGATTTTTAACGTCATCAGCTGGTGGAGTGTTCTATAAACAGCAGGGTTGTGCAATGTGCACCATTCAGAACGATAAACGGGAAACATGAGAAAGCCGAACAAAAGGAAAACTATACAAAAGAAATGTGTAATGTAGCAGTCAGGTGTCAGTAGTGCATTGCTAAATGAATGCAGGCCAGGGAAATGTAATATGCTGTGGCATTGAGGTGTGTGCAAAAAGAAACACACCAATACAAAGAATGCCATCCATTTTGCTTCTTTTGAAGGCCCAAAGGGAAGTAAGCAACTGGTATCTACAATGTGACCATTTTGCAGGGCAAAGACATGGGTTGTCAAAAAATATAAAACAAAAATTAAACCCATATTATTTCTAGTTGCCAAGGCCGTATTTCTCATTAATATTTAGCTTAACTTGATGTAATAAAACTGAAAAAAAATAATAAAAACCAGTAAGAACCATTAAAAATAGTACATACATACAAAAACATACAAAATTATTATAACTTTAGCAGATTTTAAAATGAAAAATATTAATAAAATCTATATCTAATTTCCAAAATAACAATAAAACAGTGAACACCGTGAAATTTCACTCCAAAATGCAGTGAAATGTCTCATACATATTTCTAGAATAAGGAAATTCTATTATTTAGAAGCGTTTGAAATTCCAAATGTAGGAATTTAATTTATATACATTTTATTAATTTAACTTATGTTATAGACTATGGTGGGAGAACAGGGATTATATTCTGCCTGTCAGCCATAATTATTCTAAACTGTTGACGACAATTTGGACAGATTCATGTAAATACCTTGGATGTTTTGTGCTGTTAGTCAGAATGTTTGTTAACCTTGTGGCTTAATTTGATCAATTTATCAGTTCCAAGGAAGGATTATTGAATCAAAGCTATCAGTGGGTGGGGAACTTTGCATAACAGTTCACATAGCCAAATATTGACTGCAATGCTTGCTGAAATGAAAGTGCTCTAAATTGCTAAAAATAAATGAGAACTACTTTAACTCTAATTACCATGCTGTATTTTTATCCTTGAACAACTGTAACTGAACCATCTGCATTAGTAGGCATATTGATTCTTAGGTTTTCCCTAACTAAGGCTATGATTAAACCGTGTGATCCTTCAGGAGAAATGTAAAGGCGGAGCCTGTGAGATTTCTCCATCTCTCATGGTCACCTGGTCCAGACGCAGCTGTTTTTGCTCCCACACCTCATAGCCCAAAGCAGAGCTTGACTCTCAGCAGACAGAATCTGTCGCTATGGCTGAGACAGCTGTGGCTGGTAGTTTATTTATAAGACGTGATTCCACAGATATACGATTGCCTTCTAGAAGAGTGGTGGAAAGTGACAGCATTGAGCGAGATTAATGCAGTAGCTCATTATGGAAGCAGAAATTCAATTGTAATAAATATAGAAATTTTAGTAAAAGACTGTGATCAAACTTTCTAAAAGATATTTGGGAAATGTCTTTTTTTGTCCATGCAATGAAAGACAATGGAGTCCAATGTTGTTTTGGAACCCATTGACCCATTCATTGAATGGACAAAAAAGTCAAAACGTTAAAGGGATACTCCACTCTTTTTTTTGGAAATAGGCTCATTTTACAGCTCCCCCAGGGTTAAACAGTTGAGTTTTACCGTTTTAAAATCCATTCAGCCGATTTTCTTATGGTAAATGGTAAATGGACTGCATTTATATAGCGCTTTCATAGACCCAATGGCCACCAAAGCGCTTTACAATTTGCCTCACATTCACCCATTCACACACACATTCATACACCGACGGCGACGGCAGCCATACAAGGCGCCATCCAGCTCGTCGGGAGCAGCCGGGGTTAGGTGTCTTGCTCATGGACACCTCGACACTTGGTCAGGTGGAACCGGGGATTGAACCACCAACCTTTCGGTTTGTAGACAACCTACATGAACCACTGAGCCACTTATATTTAGAAGAATATCAGTAACCAGACAGTTTCTGGTCTCATTGATTTCCATAGTGTATTTTTTCCTACTATGGAAGTCAATGGGACCAGAAAGTGTCTGGTTACTGATATTCTTCTAAATATCAGAAAATCGGCTGAATGGATTTTAAAACGGTAAAACACAACTGTTTAACTCTGGGGGAGTTGTAAAATGAGCCTATTCCAAAAAAGGTGGAGTATACCTTTTAGAGCCAGACCAATACATCGGCCGGCCGATATTAGGCATTTTCCATAATATCGGTATCGGCATTTATAAAATATAATATCGGCAACTATTTAAAAAATAAAATAAAAACGGACGAAACACACTTTAATCATCTCTCCTTGGCCTGTTATATTGAAAATGTATGTTTTACAATTTGCGCATAAATTATGGCTCATCATAGACTAGCTAACCACAAAGCAAGCTAATGCCACTATCATCAGTCGAAGACCGCTAACGTTAACATTAATGAGCTTGGAAACCACAATGAACTTTTTCTGCCTAAATAAAATAATTATTACTGTATTTATAACTAGCATATCTCTAGTTACAGTCCCTGCATTGTAAAATGTAAGTTATACTTGCGAGGAGTGAACATTTAGACATAGAGAAAAAGTATCAAACATATCTTGTGCAGAAAAGTTAGATTTCTTTTACACGTATGTGAAATCCAACAATATTTAATAAAAAAAATAAATATCGGCCGATATATCGGAATATCGGATTTTAAAACCCAAAAATATTTGTATCGTATCGGCCTTCAAAATCCTTTATCGGTCGGGCTCTAACCATTTCTCACTTTTAACTAACTATTAACTACGACTTTTGCCTCAGTAAACTCATAATTACTGCTTTTTAATAGTTATTAAGGTACTTTAGGTATTGGATTGGAGGATTAAGGGATGTAGTAGACTATTAAGACATTGAACAATTGACACTGAAGACTGAAAAACTCAAAACATTTACAAAGCTCAAGACAGGTTTGGAACAACATGAACCATCCCTCTTAATACATTTGCACTTTGCACTTCTAGAGTGTAAGGAAGTTTATCAGATGGATGGTATTTTTGCTACTGATGGTACTGTGAGCAGTATCAGGTTAGGCTTAGTTATGCAATCAAGATGTCCTGACAACGTGTTGATGAGCACTTGGATTTGGACTTGCTGACTAAGCTCTTTTTTTCAATGTGTGTGTGTGTGGCAGGTTTTACTCGTTAGCAGCAGTCGACACCCAGATCAGTGGATCGTTCCAGGAGGAGGGATGGAGCCAGAAGAAGAGCCTGGAGGAGCTGCGGTTCGAGAGGTTTATGAGGAGGTGAGCCATGTCCTCGAGGTTTCATCCTCGACTCGGGCCCTAAAGGTCTAAATTCCTGCAGAGTGAAAGTTGCGTTTCATAATTATAGTAACAGTTCTGAAATGTAAAAAGCCTTCACATGCTTGTAGAACTTGTAATTACAACGTGTAACCTCATAATTTTCTGAGAGCTATGATTTTTACTAGCTGACCACTGCAGATTTAAAGGGTTAGTTCACCCAAAAATTTAATTTCTGTCATTAATTACTCACTCTGATGTCATTCCAAACCCAAAAGACCTTTGTTTATCTTTGTGAACACAAATTAAGATATTTTTTTATGAAATTCAAGAGGTTTCTGAACCAGCAGCAACGTCATTGATACTTTCAAGGCCCAGAAAGGTGGTAAAGACATTGTTAAAATAGTCCATGTGACTACAGTGCTTCAACCTTAATGTCAGGAAGCAACGAGAATACTTTATTCAACAATTTCTTCTCTTCTGTGCCAGTCTCCTACGCTGTTCATGTTGTAAACACAGTGTGGCGCTTCCAGGTTCTACGTCCGAAAGCCGGCTCGTTATTGGCTGACCCTGTTCACGTGACTAACACGACGCATACGTGTGATGCTGACCCTGGAGCTGGCCAATAATGAGCCGGCGACACAGAAGAGAAGAAATTGTTGAATAAAGTTGTTATTTTTGTTTGCTTTTTATCAGTAACTGTGACTTATCAGTTGATCTTCATGTTATTTATGTTTTCATTAGCGTAAAATACAAATCTTGACTTATCTTTACTGGTTTACCGAAGGAGGTTGCATCATCAGGTGGTCTGTTGGGTAATGTTGGTCCCTCAGGCTTCTGAGGGTCTGTCGGTAGGTCCAAGGTCCTAAATGAGGCTTGACTGTCCTGTAGTTATGTGTAAAGCGTCAGCATACAGATCATGCTCATGTTTAGGTGAGAGTTATAGTTTGCAGCTGTCTCATATCTTGTCACCAGGATTTTTTGTTTTACACCATGCCATACTGCAAATTGCATACTTAGCTGTGTATACTATATGCTGCATACTATTATTTTTTTAAGGAACACAGTACAGCACGTTGCAACCAATCATCTTCTCGGGAAACCAATTTTTAATCCAGTTAAATTAGTCAAATAATGGCTCGACTCAAAATATTATATAATACTACAAGACTAAGCTCACATCTTTGTTTATCTTTTTTTCAGTGTGTTTAATTTTCCATAATAAGTCCATGAAACTCTCTCATTCACAATGCATTCCATTCAGTTTTTGCCCACACCTTTGACTCAACTGTTTGAGAGCTATGGTCATGTGATACCACCACCACCACCATATAGATTCCTCAATCATCATTCCCAATGTGTACATCAGCCTGTTTTCTTTCATCTCCAATTTAAGAGGCTTCACTAAATGAATCTTTTCATGTTTATCCCTGCTAATGGTTATGTGGTCCATTTCAAGGATGGGCTGTGTCATGACATTGAAGAGCCATCGTAGAGGATGCCAGTAGGGTAATTTGTTGACAGCTGTGAAGCATTACAGCGACATTTAGAAACGGTGTTCTGTTACCGTTGGCCTCGTCCGTCTGAAATGCACATGTCCCTGAGGTTCAAGAGTCAACACTTGCAGTTGCCCAATCTTAATTACAGTAGTCAATTTTTTTTATTTATTTTTTTAAGTATGCAATTAATTATTGTACCCTAAACGAATAGCGAGTGGGCTGGGCATGCTTTCTGGCTGTATAACATAATAAATCAGCCAGCTTGTAATGCTTTCTTTAATAACAGATTGAATTAAATTAAATTATTTAAAATCGATTGAATGGGTTTTATATTTCATTTAACTAAAGCATAGTTGCATAACACTGGAAAAAAAAACCTGCCCAACTAAGCTTTTTTTTTGGCCTATGTTTTCCATTTTATCCTTCATGCATAAGATTTTATTTTGTGCTTCGAGGGATTTATTTGTTACATAATGGTTTAAAAGGAGTAACTCAAGCCATTCAAGTGTTAGGGAGACCCTGGAGGAGACCATAAACCTGTCTGTGAATTACAGCATGCTGCTAGCTATGGCAACACTCATGGGACCTAAAACTAAACCCCCAGGGGCTTTGCCAGGGATGGGATGTCCCAAAGCTCTTGCAAAGAGATGTTTTTTTAATAACTGGCCTCTCGTGAAGAGGAACTTCTTTTTTAATGATTTAATGATAACTCTATTTGTTTACTTGACATGTTAAATATGAACTCTATTTCAACTCTCTTATGTATGTAGTTTTGCTGTTTGCACAATGCACATTAAAAAGGTCTATAAAGTTCAAAGTCCACTCAAAAGTGAGTCATTCTCTATATCAGTAGGCACTGTTTCTGAATTCCCTGAAACGCCTCAATTCTTGTACACTCCTGAGCAGAAAAAAGCGTCAAGCCCCAAATGGCTAAACTCTAAGCTTTTATTGTCTTAACCGTTTAGGAAATTAGCAAAATGTAAGCAAATGCGCTCCTATGTTTGTGGAGTGATTAATCACTGTGAATCATGAGTTGCGTGGTGACGTTCCAGAGCGGTGTCTTTGAAAATCTGGTGAGAAATATAACAATAAATACATCTCTACCACAGTGAAACATGGAGGAAGAGGTGTCATTGTGTGGTGGCTTTTTTTGCCTGTGAAAAGTCTTATAATGCTTTGGAGTGCTGGAGAATATTGGCTTGATTCACAAATGAAAAGTTGTCATCTAAAGAGGAATGAACAGATGACAATGCTCCGGCCCAAATTGCAAAGACAACCATGAAGTGGCTTGAGAACAAGTCCATGAGGCTTGGTCAGAGTCCATACAATCTTCAGAGTATTTTCAGGGTTTGTCTAGGGCCATGCTCATGTTATGTGATCATGTCAGATGAGGATACACTGAGATGACAGAAACACTCTCAGGGCATTTTAAATAGACAAATCTCGCATAGTCCCTGAAATCGCCCCCTGTTGTTTGTCAGTTCCAATTGTGAGCAGTCGTATCAACCCAATTTGCAAGGTTGAGCTCGGACTGGTTGGGGCATTTTTGCAATGTCTGAATCAAGACATGATGTTCTCTTATGAGCATTATGTTGTCCGGGAATCTCCTGTGTTATGGAAACACGCAGCTCAGGTCTCCCAGGTCAGTGAGCTGGGGCTAATGTTTTGGCCTGATGTGTCGGCGTCAGCTGGTACGGTTCCAGAAATTCGATGTGCTCCTCTTCACGTTAAGCCGCTGTTAGCACTGATAGAATCATGCTGCTGCTTACAGTATGTCATAGCCGAAGTCATTTCCTTTTTTAAAAGTGGCATAATCTGCACAATAACGCATCATAACCCCATGCAAATATTGTTATATATATATATATATATATATATTTGATTTGTTATGGGACTATATATACAGTATATATATTATGTCTCTCTAATGCCTTTTCCGTGTCATTTTCTGCTTAAACAGGCTGGTGTGAGGGGTACCCTTGGCAGGCTATTGGGGGTGTTTGAGGTAAGACTGCCAAACTGCCTTGTATAAAATAAGACGTTGTCACTGATACTTCAATAAACAAGGCTTTATTTCATAAACATTCATAAATATCTTATCTTCACGCCTCGTGATAACTTTATATTTCTCATTCTGTACAGCAGAACCAGGACAGCAAGCATCGGACATATGTGTATGTGCTTACGGTTACAGAGACACTGGAAGACTGGGAGGACTCAGTCAATATTGGTGAGTTGATGTTATGAATAAGACTCTCTTCTTTGTATAAACAATTCAGATTAATTCAGTAACTGCTGAAATGGGGTTTCATAATTGTTTTTTTATCATTAAATGAACCGACTCGAAAGAGTTGTTCACTTTGATTTGGATTTGCTTTTGAGTTGATTTACTTTTTTAAATGGAATGTATTGCGACTAATGCAATAAGTTGATCAATAGTGACAGAACAGCCTTTTATACTGTTGCAAAAAAAATTATTTTTCAAATAAATGCTGCTGTTTTAAACTGTCTATTGATCAAAGAATCCTGGAAAACGTTCACAAAAATATTAGGCAGCACAACTGTTTACAACATTTTTTTTGTGTGTGTACCAGATCAGCATATTAGAATGATTTATGAAGGATCATGTGTGGCACTACATTTTAAATTGTAATATTAAAATAATATTGCTGCTTTTACTGTATTTTTAATCAATTAAATACAGCCATAAAAACTATTTGGTAAACTTATTTTAAAAAGGTTAAAATTAAAAGGTTTAAAGTTAAAAAAAAATTCTAGAGAACTTTTTATTACAATGGTTTTAAACGACACTGTTTCCAACTGAATACGTGAAACTTTTTATGCCGTTTTCCGTTTTTACTAGTACATTGTTTTCGTCTAAATGTACCTACCTACGGAAGAGGATTAGGGTCAAGCAATAATAAAAAAATACAACCATTTTGAGATTAAAGTCATTATAATGCGAGATTAAACTCGTTAAATTTCGAGAAAAAAGTCAAAATACAATCTTGAGAATAAACTCATTAAATATCGAAAATTAAAGTTGTTGTGTTCAAGAAAAAACTCGTTAAATTTTGAGGAAAAAAAGTTGTAATACCATTAAATTTACCATAGTAAGTTCTAATACCATAAAAGTCATTGTTTCGAAAAAAAAAAATCGTTAAATTTCGAGAAAAAAGATTGTTTTTCGAAACAACAACTTTACTCTTGATATTTAATGAGTTTATTCTCAAGATTGTATTTCGACTTTTTTCTCGAAACACAATGACTTTATTCTCGATATTTAATGAGTTTATTCTCAAGATTGTATTTCAACTTTTTTCTCGAAATTTAACGAGTTTTTTCTCGAAACACAATGACTTTATTCTCAATATTTAATGAGTTTATTCTCAAGATTGTATTTCGACTTTTTTCTCGAAACACAATGACTTTATTCTCGATATTTAATTAGTTTTTTCTCAAGATTGTATTTCGACTTTTTTCTCGAAATTTAACAAGTTTTTTTCGAAACACAATGACTTTACTCTTGATATTTAATGAGTTTATTCTCAAGATTGTATTTCGAATTTTTTCTTGAAATTTAACGAGTTTTTTCTCGAAACACAATGACTTTATTCTCGATATTTAATGAGTTTATTCTCAAGATTGTATTTCGACTTTTTTTCTCGAAATTTAACAAGTTTAATCTCGCATTATAATGACTTTTGATACCGAGATGGTTTTATTTTTCTATTATTGCTTAGCCCTAATTCTCTTCCGTATCTACCCCTGACGATTTAAAAAAAGGCTGATTTTGAAAAAAGGGCAGACTGAAAGTAGTCTGATTTGTGTTGTATTACAATTCTTCTGAAGCCATTTGATACAGTTGCTCCCTAAAAATCCTCCTCTTCACCATAGTTCTCAAATCTCATGCGAATCCATCATACAGCTTCAGAACAAGACGGCACATTGATTACTATGGAAATTGGGTTCTTCAGAGAAGTTCACCTGTAACAAAGTGACCTCTTCCCAAGTCTACAGTAAATCAACAGTTGGGACTTTATTTGTCTACAAACAGCTTAGTCTGCTAACAGGACAGTATTTATATAGTTTTAGACAAGCTTATCATAACCAGCTCATTTCTTTTCATAAGACGCAACTGCTGATCTGTAAGCAGCTGCAAATATGAGGATTTATGGAACTATTCTCCAAAGCGATTAGAGATATAGAGCAGGCATGTGGATTAGCCACTTAAAACCTTCTACTTAACTGAATTTTTGTTGTCAGGAAGGATATACAATAATAACATTTTCCCACAGACAGCGCAATTCAAAACTTGCACTATTTGTGGATGTTTAGGAATGAAAAAAAAAAACAGGTAATCCTTCTTCAGTCCAAGCAGCCGTATAAATAGACCGAAGTTTGTTCACAGGGAGGCGTGCTGTTAGCAGGGGCACAGTTGTTTTCCAGTTAGCGTCACACTCCCCTATCGCTGGCCTCGCTCTGCTTGTACCATAGTTTCGGCTGCCAAATAGGGCATCATAACCTCAATACACCGAGAGGAAGCGGGTGAACTTGACAGAGCTCAGCTGAATGCATAGAAAAGGACAATAGTCTGATTATCAAAGTAATGACCTTTAACCTTCCTGTATATTTGACATATTTAAAAATGCTTAAGGTGAATGTTTAAGTTTCAGCACTTTGTGAGAGACAGTTTTGAGGACTATAAATACAGTGGAATGTTTGTCAGTCAGATGGTTGGGCAGTCAAATGTCTGTCAAATTCACTGTGAAGTTGACCTTTTGTACTGTATTTAAATAAAGCTGTGCATTTTTAAAACTGAGCAGCACGTCTTCAAACCGTCTAGATCTTTAATCCAGATCTGTGTCTCCTTGATGATTCTGATCTTTGTGTTGGCTGGTTTTGAGTCCGCAAAAAAAAAATTCAAAATTGGTTCACATATATAATTTTCTTAACATAGTAAAATATGTATGTACAACAGCACAACTTAAGGTTAAAAATTGTTTACTTTTTTGTTTGAACTATCCATTTAAATACGCATACTTATTTGTCAAAGTGGACCATGTCTTTGCAAGTTAACAGTCATTTATGTCTTAATAAACGTTGAGAAAGAAAATGCACGAGTATATTGGATCCCTGCAGTCGGTCTTAAAGGAATAGTTCACTTAAAAATGAAAATTCTGTCATCATTTACTCAGCCTCAAGTTGTTTCAAACCTGTATGAATTTCTCTCTTCTGATGAACACAAAAGATATTTTGAAGAATGTCGGTAAGCAGGCAGTTGATGAGTCGAAGACCATTGACTTCTATAGTAGGATAAAAATACTATGGGAGTCAACTTGGCTCAACTTGAGGGTGAGTAAATCATGACAGTATTTTAACTAATGCTACTGTTAAATCTGTATGTCTGCTATTGAATTGTTTCTGGGGAACAAGGTTATTAACCTTATTAACCAAGAAATGCACATACATTCAAATTGATTTATTAGGATAAACCCCTTGATATGCACCATATTATTTTCGAAGGGGTCCTGAAATACATCACAACCATCACAAAAGAACAATAATACAATGATACATTTGTCAATACAATAAAATAAAAACGACAACAATAAAAAAAGAAAAAGATAATAATTACAACGTACGTGGATCACAAAATAATAATACAATTAATTTGAATATATGATTGAATATATGAAAGTGAGTTGACGAATGCATCGGTTGATAGATTGTTTAGTAACTATGTGCACTGGACGAGAGCACATGCACGTGAACAATAGTCCATAACCAGTACTTTATACAATTGATGTAGTTTTTCATGTTGGTCTATATTCGTTAAACTTTTGTGAGAAGATGGGAGGGCAAGATGAGATCACGATAAGACTCATTTTATTTATCTAGTATTGACAAATTTTTTTTGCCATCATCATGTCCCTTAAGGGGATCCGTAGACTACTGTATTTTATGCTTTGAAATATTTCAAAATACTCTGAAATATATTTTTGCAGGTCGTAAACGGAAGTGGTTCAAGATTGACGAGGCGATCCGGGTGCTACAGTGCCACAAACCTGTCCACGCAGAGTATCTCCGCAAACTCACCCCTCACTGCGGCCCGACAAACGGCAACGCTCAGGAGCCGGAGAACACTGATGACAACGCCCCCCTCCGCCAGGACTGTGAACTGGCCCGTTTGCACAGATAGAACTGGCACTAGAGGGCACCGATGCAAGGAAAACTATCCTTGGATTGGAAAAGACAGTTTTGCATGTATAATTTCATTGTTTACTATTTGAAACTTTTTTTAAGTGTAGAAACCAAAGGCTTGTCGTGAAATGCCTGCAAGTTTCCGGGTCAGTAAGAACAAGGAGAGTCGTTTTCATAATATTTCATTCGTAAACGTGCATTTCAAGCCAAATAAGGTACAGTTATTTGAAGAAGAAGAGTGACGTCAAGTAAGCGCAGATTTGTGGAGACGTGTGCCGTGATGGACGTTTTAGAAATATTATTTTACAGATGCTTTAGGTGGAGGAAGAAAAGGATGGATGTGAAAAGGATTGATTGTTGTTTAGAAAGGATAAAGGAGTCTTTTTGAAATGCTGTCTATTTATATCTAATAGATAACTACTCTTATATGCTAGGTATTGGGTAAAATTCTTGATAAAGAACCAAATAGGGGCAAAACATTATCATAATCATGAATTATAGAATACATAAATAGTCTAAAAGAGGATTTGGGCTACTTTTGGTTATATTAGATGCCTTCATCACAGATATCTACCTGTAATATAGGTTTAACATGCTGTGAAGTTGAAGGTCTTTTCACAGTTTGGTCTTAAATGTGAATTTGCCACATTAAGCGGTGCAATGTGATTACCCTTCTTTCTCTTTGCAGATAAAGGTTTAATTTCCCACCTCCTATAATTACTTCTGAGCCACTGTCTCTTTAAGACACAATGGCATTTGGTAAAATGTGAGAGAAAAAAACTAAGTCTGTGGCATTGGTCCATGAAAGACTATGTAATGTTATGCTGTTTATATCTTTAAGACACAATGGCATTTGGTAAAATGTGAGAAAAAAAAAAAAAAAAAAAAACTAAGTCTGTGGCATTGGTCCATGAAAGACTATGTAATGTTATGCTGTTTATATTGCCTGAAGTGATATTCTGAATATTTCAGAAAAAGAATAGGCATAAACACTTAATGTTAACCCTACTACATCTTGTCAAACCTTTTTTTTTTTTTAAGGTCTGCAGAAATGCAGTATACATTTATTTTGATTATAGTAACAGTAACAATTCAGGCATCAATAGCTCAATCTTGCGAGTTTAAATAGCTGAGGAGGAATTTTATGTAATTGTGCATAATGCTTTTCCTTTGAGGCCTTTGTTATCTTCCACTATGTTTTTTTTTTTCAGTGGAATTTTTATGTGTAATTCACTGAACGGGATGAAATATGTGGCCAAACTGTTTTATTAAGACTGTAAATTGTAAACAAGCATACTTATCTTTCTGCAGAGGGAAGATTGCATGTTAGGTTGTAAATATGTTTTAATATTAAAAATATCAGCTTCTGCCTTAGTAGTTTATTTAGTATTATGAGTCCCGCAGTTTGTTTTAGACATTTAAAGTTAAATTATTGCACTGCTCAAAACACAGACACCTCAGCTCTTTACTTGTTTATCAGCGAGGCTCAATGAACACTGTTTGATATGTAAAACATTACGGTGTTAAAAATGTCCACAATGTGAATGTGATTTGACAGAAATTATTCTTATTATTTTTTGCCTGTCTTCAGAAATCAACATTTTCAAACAAAATAAACTCATCTCTGTTTCTAACTCAGAACGAACTCTGTAAAAAACAAGTCGGGATGTTAACTGTGTTTTGTAATAGCTTATCTGTATGTGTATATATATATATATATATATATATATATATATATATGCATATAATGCTTAAAAAAATTGGCATGATAACATATAGGATAACATAATAATCAGGTAAGAATTTCCTTGGAAAGTCATGTTCAAGTCTTCTCTTGGAGGCGTCTGAATGCAGGTAAAGTGGGCCGCTTAAGCTTGATTGTACTGCTCCATGGGTTTATATTAAAGAGATTCTATTTCTTTAAATATTACAATTATTTTGGTTGATGCAATATGATATTAGGGGGTGTGGCCAGACCTCAAAGGAAGATGCCCTCAATGTGGAAAATCAACCCTTTGACATTTTTAAAGGGGTGGTTGATTGTGATTTCACTTTTTTCATTTTAAATAGTGTGCAATGTTGCTTGCTTCATAGTGTCTGCAAAGTTGCAGCGCTGAAAGTTCAATGTAAGCAGAGATATCGTCTTTTAAAAATCAGGAAGTTTAAAGGAGAACTCCGGCGAACAATGAACCTTTGGTCTAATAAAACATTATTATGTACCTAGTCAACCGTTCTCTGAGATTTGTTTTCATGATAATCGAATGTAAAGAGTTTTATCTCTAAAAACTGTTTAGCGTATAATGCTAGTACTGGGGGCATTGACTAAGTAAAAAGAAATCACTACTTTATACCACTAACAAGGCTCAAAATAGCCCCACACTAACACAGAAACATACTGAGGCTCCATACATGCAAAACGAAGCATTGAGAACTTTGTAAGTGTACAGACCATTTAATAAGAAGAAACTTTATGAAGACAGTTCACTTCGTGTATACAGACAGGAGCCATCTTAAAAAATAGTCTCGATAAGTCGATCCCCGAACGCGGTTCATACAGTTCAGAAGTTCGCTGAACTTCATTCAGCTCAGATCACTCAGCACGTCGTTCGGGGATCGACTTATCGAGACTATTTTTTAAGATGGCTCCTGTCTGTATACGCGAAGTGAACTGTCTTCATAAAGTATCTTCTTATTAAACGGTCTGTACACTTACAAAGTTCTCAATGCTTCGTTTTGCATGTACGGAGCCTCATTATGTTACTGTGTTAGTGTACGGCTATTTTGAGCCTTATTAGTGGTATAAACTAGCGATTTCTTTTACTTAGTCAATGCCCCCAGTACTAGCATTATACGCGAAACAGTTTTTAGAGATAAAACTCTTTACGATCGATTATCATGAAAACAAATCTCAGAGAACGGTTGACTATGTACCGATGTTTTATTAGACCAAAGGTTCATTGTTCGCCGGAGTTCTCCTTTAATGCCTACAAAAACGACTCGAATGGGACTACAACAGGTTTTATACGTCACTAACCCATACATTTGCATTAACCCTCCCTCCGGAATATGCAAAAAATGGCATAAGTCCAGTAGCACCTCAATGCAGAACATGAGATCCACGGGAAGGAGTCGGATCACGATCCAAGGGGTGGAGATGGGTAGGTTTAGGTGTATGTAAGGTGGGAGGAGTTGGATCTGGATCCGACTCCTCCCCATGGATTTCATGTTCCGCAGTGAGTACCATCTCCTTTTGCGGCTCATCGAAAGTGTGTTATTTTCACCCAGATGAGATGTCAGGGCTTCTGTGTTCGGGCTTCCCTCGGACGTTGTTCGTCAACAATGGATACAATTTATGTTTGATTATGTTCCTGAAAATTCAAATCATAATTTAGTTTTCTGTGCCGCGCATTTGATTTTACAGAAGATCAGCTTCCAGAATCTCCACTAATTTAATGCCGGTGTGACGATTCATGCTACCCATCGAGATTTGCTACTTACCGGTTATGCGCATGTGCAGACTCACTTTTTTTTTTTTTTTTAACAAAAGGTACATTTTCCTGTTATAATGTATAATTTCCCTCTAAAAAATCCCTCTAAAAAGTTTCAGTTACTGTGAGGAAAGGTGTATTTTGACAAGTCAAAGATGAATATTTTATGATATTTTTTTTTCACACCGTTTTAAAAATAAAAACAGTAGTCTACAGTAGCTACTCATAACTTAGAATTGTATTATAATTGTATTTCATACGACTTTAATCGGCATTCTGTGATCAATTCGCGCTACGGTAGCATTTTTCGACAAGGCAGCAAAAAGAAACTGTTATTAAAACACGAAGCAGTTCCAACTTTAAAACCAGAGTCAGCAGTTTTTGTATACATATATTATTATTATATATTACCATCAATAATATTTTGAAAAATAATGTTTATATGTTGCGATTAAAGTCCCCGTGAAATCAAAATTGAACCTATTTACTTTGCTAGCGCATATTACTAGTCTTGTGGTGAACAATTAATCCGTGCAAGTAAATATATATTAAAAAAATGTTTTACCTTAGTAATCTTTAATCAAAATCTGAAAAGTTACTTCCGGTCTAGAACGGTTTCTTTTTCTGATGACGTAGGTTTCACAGTTTGGGTGGGGAAACGCTTAACCACTCCCCTCAAACCGTTAGTTTGCTATGAGCGAGAGATGGAGAGGAGGAGCGCTAGAGTAAAACCCTGCCCTCTGTTCAATATTCCGTTTCACTTGGAAATACGTCACAGCACTGGATAAAAATCGTTTGCAACTTCCGGTTCACGGGGACTTTAATGTCTGATCTGGTTACAGTGGATTTTTAAAAAATCTGGGAAAATACTTCCGGAATAAAGGAAAAATGAGCGGTCACTTTCGACAAATCCCGCCTTTGACCTAATCTCTCTTTTCAATGATTGGTGGACGCACCTTACAGACAGCCTACAATTGGGTATCTTAGAAGCCATTCATGCAGGCGGACCAATCATCGCAAACATTGATTAGATGAAGGGCGGGACATATCGGAAAACGGTGTGCTTCTACAGAAGCAGCAGTGTGTGTCTGCAGGTGTCAACAACAGAATATTTATACACTCCCTCATTAGTACAACACTTTTAAGATTTGATTTTTCATAGTTCTAGCCAAAGAAAGGACCAGAATGTTAAGACGAATATTACAGATGGTGAGTGAAATACACACAGACACTCATTCAGTTGCATGTGATTTGGAGCTCGTCGGGCCTGACACTGAATGATGGCCTTGCTCAAGATTGATTAAAATGACTTTTCGATTGTGGTTTCTTGACGACAGTCTCGAATCGCAACTGGATCAGATCTCTTTTGTTCTTGAGAAGCAGTGAACATTCTGATGATGTCATTCTGCGTGAATGTTGACATGGAGACTGAGCTGTTAGCCAGTTAGCGGGCTACTTAGCTTTGTCGAATTGATTAACTTATTCACAAGTCGTTTTATGTTTAACGACAAGCAATGATAAGGTGTCAGCTTTCATAATTTTGTCCCAAAGACGTGTCCCGTTGAAATAGCTGGCGTGAATGTATTTTTCAGTCACCTGTCAAGCTGTGACTCGCACTACATGATTTCCCCATTAATAGAAATGTCTGATATCATCTATAGTTATACAACCTGATCTTTTGCTGACAGTCACAGTGTGAGTCTTTCATTTCTGCTTAATAATATTCCTGTAGTGTGGTATATAAACACCACCTTTCAAAAGATTTTAAGAAAAAGTTTTTTCAAAAAGTCTTTTTATGCTCACCAAGTCTGCTTAAAGGTATTAATTTGATTAAAAACAGTAATATTATAAAAATATAATTACTATTTCAAATACCTCTTTAATGTGTTGATATATATTAAATGTAATTTATTGAATAAGCTGAATTTTCAGTCCTCAGTGTCCCACGATACTTGAGAAATCTTTCCAATAATGCTAATTCTGTGCACAAGAAACATTTCTTATTATTTCTTATCATTTCTTATTAGTGGTGCTGTTTAATATATCTTTTTAAACTAAGGATAAACAAATTTTTGATCCTTTTAATGAAGAAAAGTTGCGAAGAACAGCATTTATTTAAAATATAAATCTATTTTTAACATTATAAATATCACCTTTGATCAATTTAATGCATCTTTGCTAAATAAAAGTTAAATTTCATTGAGAAAGTTTTTATAAATATTTATTCATCTTGGTAGCATTTTCTGAACTGCCTTTACTTAAAAGTTAATTTATTTTAAAACAGTGTTTGTGACTGAATTACAGTAAATGACTCCATGTAGTGGTGAGAATTTGGAGATAAAATATTTGTCCTAATAATAACATCATAGTGCAAAAAGTTTTAAGGGTCTTAATTGTAGATTATAACATAATAAAATTATGCAAACTGCAAAGTAAAGGTTATTTTTTCTTTTGATTTTGGGGTGTTGCATGAACATATCTTGACACAACACCCATCTCAAACAGAGAGTCGTTGAGGATTTGAAAGTCCTGTTTATTTGACATACTTTTTTTTAATACTAGTAAAAAGATTTCTTGAACCATGCCAATGTGTTATGGTGTCAAAGTTATTCTCTTTCAGAAGAGGAAGGGAAGCTGAAAGTAAGGTCTAATTATGACTAAACTGTAGTTTTTGGCCACTTGTTGTGACATCTTGTGATCTGACAGTAGGCACATATGAAATGTCAAGGGCATATCAATGTTAGAGAACAGTATTGTTTGACATCATGCTGATCACGGTTGCCAAGATCGAGGGAAACGTTAAACGACCCTCTTGCTGAGTATACCGTTTCAGCCCGATGACTGACAGCCATACCGAGCACATCCCAAGAAGTGAACAAAGCGATCTTTGCCTTAACACCTTGTGAATGTCATGAAATGATGTGCACTCATTCTTGATCAGCTGCCCACATACCTAATCAGCTGTGCCAGACATGAATAGTGTGAAATAATGAGATGAGTTTCATCGCAGCTGACATCTGATTCAAATCCTTCCTTTCTCTACTTTCTCTACACATCTTTGTGGAAATAGACTCCTGGGAAAGGAGGCTCCCAGAGCTCGGAGTCTGAGCAGCCGTCTGCTGATATGAATAATGAGTCCTCAGAGGTAAGCCGAATTAAATGTATAACCCTACCATATTACTGCCAAATGCCTCATTGCCTTAATATCTTTTTCTTTCATTTGCTATAATGATATCAGTGTTGTATTTAAGACTTTAGGGATAGTTGATGCAGAAATGAAAGTCATTTAGCTATTCATTCTTATTAGGATTTTCTTACAAAGTAAGTTTATCAATATTCACTCTACTCTTATGAAAGTGAATGGTGACCAGGGTTCGTCAAGCTTCTAGGGATGTGACAATATATCGTGTCACAATATATAGCGATACAAAAATGTAACAATGTGTATTCAATGTGTAATTCATCCAAAATAAAAATTACATTAAGTTTACAGAGTTTTGTTACTATTAACATTAATATTAGTATTTATGTTAGTATTAAACTACTATATATATAATGTATAATAATGTTTGTGTAGGTTCTGATAATGCTAAATGTCTTATGTTACTAGTAAAAAGTGGCCTATATTATTAGTTTAAATAGGCCTATATGTAGTCAGTGACCGAGGGCAAGCATATTCATAAATCTATGTTTTTAGCTTCAGAAACATTAATGTTTATTCTGGTGTCATCATTGTCCTGTTCATTGGGTTACCAGCACCAAATCCAAGCCTATTCATTAAAACCTACCATGTAATACTAAATTTAGCATTTCGATCAACTACGTTTTTTTTTGTTAAACTTTTACCACATGTCTTGGAGTATCGCCGATATGACGCTGAAGTTAAAGTCCCCGTGAACCGGAAGTTGCAAACGATTTTTCTCCAGTGCTGTGACGTATTTCCAAGTGAAACGGAATATTGAACAGAGGGCAGGGTTTTACTCTAGCGCTCCTCCTCTCCATCTCTCGCTCATAGCAAACTAACGGTTTGAGGGGAGTGGTTAAGCGTTTCCCCACCCAAACTGTGAAACCTACGTCATCAACCGTTCCAGACCGGAAGTAACTTTTCAGATTTTGATTAAAGATTACCAAGGTAAAACATTTTTTTAATATATATTTACTTGCACGGATTAATTGTTCACCACAAGACTAGTAATATGCGCTAACAAAGTAAATAGGTTCAATTTTGATTTCACGGGGACTTTAAGATAAGTCTAAACACTGGGTCTCATTAATAATTGTGTGGATTATTATTTATTTGTATGCATAGAAGAACATCACTCAAAAAATATTTACAACACGTGCGTATGCACATGAATTTAGTGAATTGATTATTCTAAATGGTTTGGATAGGACATAAGGATTTCTTCACAACCTTCCCTTTACAGCCTTTGGTCACTCGTCAAACACAATAAACACCTTTTATTCAGATGTACATTCAGTATTCAGCTGTACAGTCGAGTAATATCTGCACTGCAATCTAAACCTCACAGCTAAAGTTATAACTCTTTCACTGTAGGCTATATGTTGAAATATATTTAAGATGAAATTAAATTGTAATATTTATTGATGTAATATAATATAATCTTGTTTTGTTTGTGCAAAAGTTAGTATGCAGGTTTTATGGACGAATTTGTGTGTACCCAATTTTTCAGTCCCCTGTGTCTCAATTTTTTAGATGTAAATTGGCTCCTTATTATGGTAAAGTGTATCTTGACTTGAACGTCCTGCCTAACATCCGTTTTTGTGTTCATTGGAAGAAATAAAATCATATGAGGGTTTATATGAAAAATGAGGGTTAATAAATGATGAGAGGATATAAATTCTTTCTTTAACTCTCATTTTAATTATGGATGTATGATGATATTTGCTCTTTCTAAATTCGAGGCTTCTGGTCATTCCTAGGATATCCAGATCCACCAAAGGAGGGAAAGCATTTTCACATTTATTTTTAAATTTTTTTAAATTTATTTTTTTTTACGCTAAAAATTATGAAATATTTTATTTGTTTACCAGCATATCATTGTGACCATTACCAACATCAGAGTGGTTACATTTTTAATATTAATATAAATTATTTATTAATATTTTTGTTAATACTTTAATTAAATTTTTTTTTTTTTTTTTTTGCATTGAAATGCATTTTCACATTTAGCTCCGAAACTCTGGAATAGCCTTCCTGATATTGTTCGTTGCTCATGCTCTCCCAGTTTAAAACTAGATTAAAGATGCATCTCTTCAGCCAGGCATTCATATACATTTTTTATCTCACAGTTACTGTAAATTTGGCCTCTAGTTCATAAACACCAGAGGAGAACTGGCCCCCGACTGAGCCTGGGTTTTTTTTCTCCATTGGGTCATCTGATGGAGTTTTAGGACACCATCGGGTCACTTGATGGAGTTTTTTCGGTTCCTTGCCACTGTTGCCTTTGGCTTGCTCAGTTGGGGATATTCAAATTAAATGACCCATCATACCATTGATCTGCTCTACCAAACTTGGATGTCTTTTTTTCCAGTAATAAACAAACACTGTTAAGTTGTTTTGATTGATACTGTGAAGCAGCTATGATACAATCTGTATTGTGAAAAGCGCTATATAAATATATTTGACTTGACTTGTCTCTCGAATCTCATTGTAGTGTTAATTTGTTTGTCTGCAGGGCTTCATTTGTCCCCAGTGTATGAAGTCACATAACTCTGCTGAGGAGCTCTTCAAACATTACGAGGTGTTCCATGAGCCAGGAGACCAGCCGTCCCCCTTCAGCCCTGGCAGGTGGGCTTCTGTAGTAGTAAACCCGTCTTGCTCCCTTTCCTGTCAGGAAAGCTCAGTTGCTCAGTCAGATAATCTTGCCATCCTGAGATTTAGGCTGCATTTAATCTTAATGTGAAAGAAAAGGAATTGTTTTTATTGTTGACCATGAATATCATGGCCATCATCAAAGAAACATAATGTATTGCGACAAGTTGCTCCACAGAAAAAAAAATGTATTGCATGTGTTTTTCTTGTTAAGGGAGGATCTAGTCCTTCGACAGGAAGTCCAAGATTTACAGACTTCACTGAAGGTAGTCTGCCTTTGACTCCCAATCTCCCACCCTTTTTATCAGCCTTAGCATGCCTGAAATGCACACTACTCACAGCACCATTACTCAATGATGTTATTTTCCATTGGATATTTGCTCTCATTGGGTTTGAAATTGCTGACGTGCAGTTTGTGGTGTGTTTTCAGGAGGAACGCTGGTATTCTGAGGAACTGAAAAAAGAATTAGACAAAGTACAAGGACAACTAGCAACTAATAAAGTAAATGCATGGTTTAAGAAAGGTTCACACTTTTAATAATGTCTATTGATTACTGAAGGAATGTTTGCTGTGTTCTCTAATTGAATCACTGGATGTGTATTGATTTTAGGTCTCACAGAGTGGTGGTACCAGTGGAGAAGAATCAGGTTAGTTGAGTAGTGTTAATTAGTTATTTAAAGGAATTTAGCAGGTTCAATAAAAGTTAAGCTCAATCAATAAATCTCTGGGATTACATTGATTCATCGATTGCATTCTTAGCAATAACCTGTAATCATACAATCGTTTAAAATGTGTATTTACACACACACATATATATTATATACACATAATATATATATATATTAATGCTGTCAAACGATTAATCGCATTAATGTTATAGTTAACTCACGATTAATCGCAATTAATCACACTTTTTTATCTATTCTAAATGTTTCTTGATTTCTTTTTGTCCAATTATTTTTTTCTCATTATAATGCTCTTATCAACATGGAAAAGTGGATCGGCTTGCTTTGTGCAAATGTTTTTTTATTGAAAACAACATTGACATATACTGTGTTCAAATTCACACTAACATTCTCACTTGGAGCAAATAATCTCTCACACAATGTAACACTGTCCATCAAAAAGGGTGAAAGAAATACTGACGACGAGGTCCTGATACTGACGAGGGGCCGGAGAACTCGCATCAGCTGTGTGTGTGCTTGGCCATCATCAAGCTGTATTTCAGACTGGACTTGCTGCGATGATGATAGCTCAGTTCACAACGACAAAACACACATTACTTTGGTCTTGTTAATGGAACCATTTGGCAACTTTTTAACAGTGAACTTTCCATTCAGAATCTTATTGGCATCCATTTCGGTGTCTCGCGCTCGTCGTCCACTCAGAACGTAACGTTAACCAACTGTTTGGCCGGCTCGCAAGCCCAAACAAGTGTGTGCGGCGTGCCTATTGTTTTGTTTACGTCTAGCTAGATCCGCTTGCGCTTTGGTCGGCGAAGCAACAAAACGTCCTCATAATAACGCGTTTAACTGACAGCCCTAATATATATATATATTAGGGCTGTCAACCGATTAATCGTGATTAATCGCATCCAAAATAAAAGTTTGTGTTTACATAATATATGTGGGTGCACTGTGTTTAATTATTTTATATATATGAACACACACACATGCTTGTATATATTTAAGAAATATTTTCATGAATATAATGTATATAGATTTATATATAATTAATATTAATAGTATAATTAATATAAATAAATATAAATATTTTATTTATAAGTAATATTTTTTTTCCTAAATATACATGCATGTGTGTGTATTTATATATATACAGAATAATTATACACAGTGCACCCACATATATTATGTAAACACAAACTTTTATTTTGGATGCGATTAATCGCGATTAATCATTTGACAGCCCTAATATATATATATATATATATATATATATATCATTAAAGCAAGTTTACTTATACTGGAAATATGGTGTGGTACAGTAGCATCAATTTAAAAAAAACAAAAACAATGGAAACAATTTTGTCAACTGAATGTGTCTTGTATTGTATCTTTTTGTGAAGCCGCAGTCAGTATTTCTATCTTCTCAGAGCTCGCGTTAAGGCTCAACGAATCTGAGACAGAGAAGTTCAACATCAAACAGATGAAAGACTTATTTGAACAGAAAGCTGCTCAGCTCGCAACTGAGATAGTTGGTAAGTTTGAAGAAACGTTCCTGCCTTTTATATTTATGCAGTTTGTACGGTGGCCGAGAGAGCTCAATGGGCTGCAACTGAGGAAAGCGCATGCAAATAGGAAAAAACACCAGCAAATTAAGAAAACATCATCAGTTTGACAACACATGTGCTGCAAATACTCATTTCGTATACGCGTTCCGTATTTTGGTTGTCATACTGATGAAGATGCGCAATGAGCTCCCTCAGCCACCGTGAGTTTATCTCTTTTATATATAAATATAGAAGTTAACATAAATATTACATTTACAGTATTACAATATTGTAACAATATTACGTTCTTATATATCTATAAAATAAAATGGCATTAAAATAAGTATCCGTTTCACATCTCAGACATCAAATCTCGTTATGATGAGGAGAAAAGCATGAGGGAAGTGTTGGAGCAGAGGCTGGCCAATCTAAACCAAGATCTGCAGAGGGAGAAACAGGAGAAGGAGAGACTGGCGGCAGAGCTGGTAATGTCTCCTTTATTGTCTCATGATAATTAATGAGTTTGCATCCTCTCAGCTGCTGCTACGTATACATCATCAATCTCTCCCAGCTTAATCCTGTCTGTCATTGGCTCTCCTCCAGCTTCAGAGGCCTGGAGTGGAAGACGTGGAAGTGTTGAAGAAAGAGTTGGTGCAGGTGCAGACGCTCATGGATAACATGACCCGCGAGAGGGAGGAGGAGTCCGAGCGTCTCAGGAGCCAATACGAACTGTTGCAGGCCAACTTCACTACCTCAGAGGTGAGCTCAAACCTGCTGTGACCTTGTCTGCACTGTACTGACGTAAGGACAGAGTCACCATGATGTTTGCTGTATCAACAATTGATCTCTGTGCTGTTTATTCGGAAAATGTAGGTATTGATAGAATCTGGCAAATATGTAGACTATTGCCAAAATCTATAGCTAGTGAAGGCAGGGATAATAAGAGGTCATTTTGAGACGTAGATAAGCAGCTGACCTTTGAGTGGGTGCACCAGTGACGTCACTCGGTTTGCCCTTTGAAGCAAACCGAGACAATAGCCGATTGTAGATTAGTGGTTACTCTGTCTAGACAACAACTATGAAGATACCCTCAAGGGATTTTATATTGTAGGTTACAATCATAATGTAGAATCCGGACGTGTTTGTTAAATGTCTGAGGGTCACACTGACTGTCCTTTCTAACTGATTCCTGAGGTTAACCATTAACCTTCTAGCCTCCGAGTGTTTCCTGTAATTTCCTGCACTTTTGACCTAAATATTGCTTCTCATTATATAAGGTCCCTCAAAAGCAGAATAGTCCTGGTTCATAGATCATTACACAGGTAACTTGAGTGCACTTTTTTTTCACATATTCTGTTTTGACTTTGGTTGGTCTATTCAATTCAAAGGCTGCCATCTAGTGACTATATAGGGATATGTTAAGGTTGCAAACCTCATTCTTCACAAAATACCTCCATAAATCCATTAGACTGTAGTCTCTCTGTTCCAGACTCTTGAACTGTTTAGTATAGCAATAAACTGCAACTTAATAACTGATTGGTTTCTTACATGAATCACACACGCAAAAGTTAGATGAACTATTTCATTATTTTTTTCAGTACTGTCAAAAGTGTCAGTAAGATGTTTAAAATATTTTTGAAAGAAGTCTCTTATTCTCTAATATTTTGTGGAAACATTGATGCAACATTTTCAGTATTCTTTGATGAATGGAAAAAAACAAAAGAACAGCATTTATTTGAAATAGAATATTACAGTTATTTTTGGTCAATTTAAAGGCTCAATATGTAAGATTTTTTTATGTAAATATTCAAAAAACCACTAGAACAATGTTATACAGTATATATTTTGTTGACTTGTGTACTTATATTATCCCAAATGTTTCCAACTATGTTTAAATCCAGGCATTTTAACCAGTGAAACCATTGAAACAACAAAGATGCTTTAGTTTTTTGTCTGTTTTATCCATAGAAAAATAATCATTGCTACTCAACATGTTTGATCCCAATGTTTTCTTGATTTACCGCGAATGATATGTTTGTACCATGCATCAGAGACAATGCTATTTTTATTAATATGATATTATAAACTTGCATAATGTACCTTTAATGCATCTTTGCGTAATAAAAAAATATGATCTTTTTAAAAACATTACTAACTAAAAATGTCACCTAGGTAGGCAGCTCGCTAGGATTGGAGAAACAGCCAGTGTTTTGCTCCAATGTACTTGTCATAACCTGTAGGCGCAGTGTCTGGACTTCCATAGTAGGAAAAAAATACTATGGAAGTCAATGGGACCAGAAACTGGTCTGGTTACTGATATTCTTCTAAATATCAAAAAATCGTCTGAAAACATTCAAAAACAGTAAAACCCAACTGTTTAACTCTGGGGGAGTGGTAAAATGAGCCTATTTCCAAAAAAAGTGGAGTATCCCTTTAATATTTTTGTGGAAACTGATTTCTTTAGAATCTTTGATTGGTACAAAAATCAAAAGAAAAACATTTATTTGTAATAGAATTCTTTTGCAAGATTATAAATGTCTTCAACTTTTGATCAATTTAATGCTGTTACTGGGGAAAAAAGTACAAAAAAACCCTAAAAAAAATTAAATATGCATTTCATCAGCTGAGTGCTTGGCACCCAGTGACCCAACAGTGTACCATAACAGACTGTACTTCTATACCTCTCAGCTTCTATTTGGTTTGCAAATGAATTACAGGCCATACTACAGTCTAGACTTGATTTCTGTGTGCTGTCTCACATTTGTTCGCTTGTTTATAGACCACGATTGCTCAGTTGAAGGCGGAACTGGAGAAAGGTCCTCAGGAGGCAGCGGTCTACACCCAACAGATCCACCAATTACAGAGCAACCTGAACAACTTCCAGCAACAGACCCAGGTAACACTCACATACACAAACAGATGTAGATATGTTGTGTCTAGAGTTACTGGACCCCCCTAAGCAACAAGGCATGTGCCGTATGCTCAAAGCAAATCAAGCTGTATATTTTAATGGCCTACTTTATGGCTTTACAGAACACACGCCAATGTCGGCTATGTTAAGACCTGCCAGCCTGCGCACACACTTCCAAATTTAAGTTTACTGTACCTCTGTGTACCAACACTACCAGTTGGCTTTCAGGAAACGGCTTGACACATCGGGCTGCTGGCCCCGTGTATCCAGTCCAAACTGGACCCATTGACCTGTCAGCACATTGTGTGTTTTGATTGGCCATTAAAGAGTGTTGACATATGCATCACAGATGCTGTGTTATTAAAGCAGCAGGGGATGATTCGTCTCTTGCCTGTTTTGATGGTCAGACTGATATACGGCCTCAGGTAATGACCTACAACTCTCTAGTCTAGTCCATTGTTCAAGCTGTCAGGACTGGATTAGGAGATCAGAGACCAAAGGCCTGCTGACTTCTGAAAAACGTGGACCATGGTACTGATGGGAAGTGAAATAGGGGCGATTAAGGGGTCGTTAATCATCCCTGTGCAACGTACTGCGGGATAAATATAAACGATAATTTCAAGGTCAAAGGGAATATACTTTCAAGGACAGGAACATGAGAGAGAGTGAACTTTATTTATTTAGTGGTAACTTTTTATAATGAGGTTTAATTTGTAAAAATTTTACACAAGTTTATGCATTTGGGCATTTTGTATAGTGAACCATCATTCCAGAATATACAGTCAAACCAAAAATTATTCAGACACCTTCAACATTTGTCACATTATCACAGTTTATTTGCTATGGTTTAGAAAATGGTAATAAAATATGACAAGAACTCCGAGTTTCACTGGGTTTGGTCATCCTTGTGTTAGACTGTCTCACAAATGAATTATTTTTAATAGCTGTGAGCTGTTAAATTTAAGTACACAATTAAATAATACCAATTTGGGTCAGCCAATTACCACTTAATTGTGTTACTACGCTTAATTTTGTTCAGTGGTGTAAAAAGGTCGTATTAGCAATTAAAGAAAAAACACTGAAGAAAAAGATGAGGTCAAAATGTCTGAACAAAGTTTTGTCCCATATTATTATACGTTTTACTGGTAGTCCACTGTATGAAGAATTCTTGGGTATAATATGTCACTGTTTACTTTATTTTGCTATCCTCACATAAATGAACTATAGTCAGGGGTGTACATAAGTTTTTCCGCCAGGTTCTCATAAGAGCTGGAGATTCGGACATTGCGCATAGTGTGACCCATTAAATATAACTATAAAAATCAAATAATTTTTAAACCTAAAGTCAGCAAGCTTTTATTTTGGCGGGTTGCCAGGAAGTTAGTACTTTAGTGCCGTGAATGTCAGTTTCAGTGAATGTCAGTTTCATGTTTTGTTTGTTTGTTCATTAAAGGAGCTGTATGCAAGAAATGTATTGCAATTAATCATAAATTTTCCCTGATATTTCACTAGACATTAAGAAATCATGTTCATTTCAAATACTTAAATCACTGACAACAGTAGTCCGGCCAGGATATTGTAATTTAAAATTGAAGTCACACCCCTTGACTGATGTTGATATTGTCAAGTTGTGTTTTGTTCTGATGTGTCACCCTCCACCGATTTACCAATCACGGACTCAGTAGTGTTGCGGCATTCGGGTTGCCAGCTCTTCTCTAGTTACCATAGCTGCATACAAACGTGTCGGAATCGGATAAAAAAAATTCTAACATTGCGAAACCCCAAAAAACTCTATATGAATCTGAAATACTTTGTTACAATGTCTGAAATAAATAATTAACAGAAAAAATCTCACTGTGTTGGACTCTTGCAACTGGAAGCTTCTTGTAGCAGCCAACATTCCTGCTGGAACCTGCAGCACATCTGGCAACCTCGAGTCATAGGGGTAGGCGGGGATACACCCTTATTTGAAAGTGATTGCAGTACCAGTTTTGGCCACAATCTTGCATACAGCTCCTTTAACAGCTGTCAACCATGTCGGTATGCAAATTAGTGGTCGGAACTTATTTAACCAGTGCATTTTTTTATTTTGGACTTATGTGCACCCCTGACTATAGTGTCCTGCACCCACTAGTGAAAAAATATAAAAATTATATCTGGTGTCTGATTCATTTTTGGTTTGACTGTATATACATATAAAGTATACCACTGCTCTAAAATACTGGGGGGAAAAAAGGCAAGTATTGTAAGTTTGAAACAAACCTCATATTGACAAATTTTTAAGTTTTGGGAAAACTATCCCTTTAAGACTCTTTCAGAAACACTTGGAGGACTAAATAAAAAATGGAAAAATGCAAGAAGACACTGTTAACAGCAACACATGACCAAATGAGACTGCAGCCTTTAGCTTACAAAGATGTTGGACGAAAAGAGAAAGGGTATTCAGCTGTTCTCAACCTTGACATTATGTACTGAAGCAAAGCTCAGGATATGATGTATTTATTGTCTTCGTGTCACCTTTGTGTTAGTCGCTGTCCCCTTATCCTCCTTGGCCTTTTAATAGCTGTCACAAGTAAAGGTCAGAACACAATTATCCAGCCCTTCCCTAAAAAAACTCATAAAAGAGGTCTGGGAGGTATCTCAGATTACTCAGACATTTTGTCATCAAGCCGCAACAGTGTTGCCCCATCTTATGGAATCGTGATGTTCTGGTCTTGTTTTACTGCGTTTTTATAGGTTGTCATTATACGACAATAAACGTTGTATAAATGAGATGTCATTTTATGTTGTAAGTGTCTAATCTCTCTGCCACTCCTTAGCTTTTGTCAGAGAAGTTATCTCGTAAGGAGAAGGAGAATCAGGAACTTGAGGAGCGTCTGGGTCAGGAACTGACCTCTAAGAAGAGTCTTCAGGCTAGTCTGCACCAGAAAGACCTGGACCTCCAGGAAAGCCAAGCTCGGGTGTCATCGGGGGAGGCAGCTCTGAGTCGGGTCCAGACTGAATCGACCGAACGCAGGGAAGAGGTCACACGACTCAAACAGGAACTCGCTGAGCTGGAGAAGAACCACCAGGAGTTGAAGGTAGTGAGGAAACAACTCCAACAGCAGAGAGACGATAAAGAAAACCAGGGCCTGCAGCAGCAAAGTGAGATTAGCAAGGTGTGAAAATCCATCCATCCAGTTAGAATCAGATCCATCCAACTATCCAGAATCCCATCCATCTATCCTTTTAGTTCAGAATCAAATCCATCCTTTCATCCATGCAATTCTGTTTTTTTTTTATTTACAATCATAATCAACATCAAATCCATTTATCCAGAATCAGTGCTATCCATCCATTACACATTTATACTTGTACAAGGGTTAGTTCACCGAAAAATAAAAATTATGTCATTAATGACTCCCCAAGCCTTGTAAGACCTCTGTTCATCTTTAGAACATAGTTTAAGATATTATAAATTTAGTCAATTTAGTTTTCTGTCCCTCCATTAAAAATATACACATGGTATACTGTTCTTATCCAGACAGGTTTAAAAAGTTAATCAGAGTAGTCCATGTGACATCAGTGGGTTATTTAGAATGGTTTGAACTATCAAAAATACATTTTGATCAAAAAATAGCATTGTATTCTCTTCGGTATTCGGTTCTGTTGTCAATCCGCATTCAGTGAAGCTGCTGACAGGTAATCTGGTGCGTCCGAGGATTTCGGAGCATGTCTAAGGATTTCGACACCGAGGAGCTTGCACTTTTTTTGCCCTGCCATATTTATTTGAACCCGAATACACGGTCCCACCAGATACTCGTCAGCAGCATCTTACGTAAGCAGCTTCACTGAACGCTGCTCGACAACCGAACCGGAAGAGAATACAATGCTAAATAATGTCGTAGTATTTGTTATTTTTGGACCAAAATGTATTTTGATAGTTCAAAACGTTCTAACTAACCCACTGATGTCACATGGACTACTTTGATGATGTTTTTCTAACCTTTCTGGACAAGGATGGTATAACTTTTATACATTTTCAATGGAGGGAGAGAAAACTCTCGGACTAAATCTGCGTTCCGAAGATGAACGGAGGTCTCAGAGGTTTTTGGGTGAACTAACCCTTTAAGATGATGTGATCTCAAGCTGTATCATCGTAATCAGGCTCTCATATTGACCTCCTCTTCAGCTACATGCGAAGCTGCTGGACACTGAGCGTCAGTTGGGGGAGCTGCAGGGCCGGCTTAAAGAACAAAGACAGCTGTCAGGAGAGAAACTCAAAGATCGGGAACAGCAGGTGGCAGACCTGCAGCTTAAACTCTCCCGCGTGGATGAACAGGTAAAGACAGAAAATGGCTGATTATTAGAATTTTTTTTTCAGGACTGGACATCCAAGCTGGAAGACTTGCAGCACATGAAATAAAAGCAGTGATGCACACTAAGAGTAATTATTAGTTAAGTCAGGTTCTTAATTTATAATGTGTGTATTTACATGCACAAGCCAGACAGAATAATTATTACTATGGTGGGCTTGCGTGTCTTGTTTTCACTGGTGTCTCTCTGTATGTCTGGATATGTCTGTGACCGTGTTTGTATAGTTAAAGGAGACCTCTACCAAGTCTACTGACCTACAGCATCAGCTGGACAAATCCAAACAGCAAAACCAAGAACTACAAACCCTTCAACAGAGCACTAATGGCAAACTTAGAGAGGCACAGGTAAACATAACTTTCATAAAATCACATAAAGAGCCTTTCTAGAAAGAAACATGATTTGCTCCACTGTGCATGAAAATATCTTCAGACATTATGATATTGCTATCATCACAGGCAGGGCTCAACATTAAAGATGACTCATTTCCCATTTATGCTATTATAGCTATGTAATTTCAAGATGTTATTGAGATTAAAGGACAACTCTGGCGCAAAATGAACCTTTAGTCTAATTACACATTGTTACCTAGTCAACCTTTATCTGAGATTTGTTTTCATGATTGCTGAATGTAAATAGTTTTATCTCTAAAAACAGTTTAGCCTACAACGCTAGTATAATGCTAGTATATAGGGCATAGAGTAATGACAAATAAAAATCGCTTGTTATTACCACTAAAAAGGCTCAAAATAGCCCCACACCAACACGATAGCATAAAAAGGGTCCCTACATTCAAACCGAAGCATTGAAAACTTTGTCAGTGTCCATACAGTTTAATAAGCAGATATTTTATACACACAGTAAATTTCACGAATTCAGGAAGAAGCCATCTTGGAAAAATAGTCTCTACCAGTCGATCTACGAACGCCGATCCAAGTGCGCTGGTGAGATGTGAATAAGGTGATAAGGTGAGCACGAACAGTAGGCTACGTGTACATATTGAAGACAAGTAAACGGTTTGTGTTTGTGTTTCTTCCGAAAACATTGGACCGTATGAGATTCTGTACATTTTAGCGCACTTGGATCGGCGTTCGTAGATCGACTGGTAGAGACTATTTTTCAAAGATGGCTTCTTCCTGTATTCGTGAAATTGACTGTGTGTATAAAATATCTTCTTATTAAACTGTGTGGACACTGACAAAGTTCTCAACGCTTCGGTTTGAATGTAGGGACCCTTGTTATGCTGTCATTTTGGTGTGGGGCTATTTTGAGCCTTGTTAGTGGTAATAACAAGCGATTTTTATTTGTCATTACTCTATGCCCTATATACTGGCATTGTACTAGCGTTATAGGCTAAACTGTTTTTAGAGATAAAACTATTTACATTCGGCAAACATGAAAACAAATCTCAGATAACGGTTGACTAGGTAGCAATGTGTAATTAGACCAAAGGATCATTTTGCACCGGAGTTGCCCTATAAAACAAAATTATTTACGAAAAATATATATTTGTATACCTTTTATTCTTTAGTTAAATGGCCTTTTCACTATGGCTGCATTTATTTGATCAGAAATTATGTAAATTGTGAAATATTAATACAATTTATTTTATCTTTTTAAATGTATTTTAAAATGAAATGTATACCTGTAATGGTAAAACTGAATTTTCAGCATCATTACTCCTATTTTAAAGATTGTATCAGTGATCAGTGTATCAAAGTCGGAGCTGAAGAAGAAGCCAGCGTCTATCAACGAAACCATGTCGGTGATTGGTTGGAAGACCGGTTTCACCAACCAATCAAAACCAAAATAGTGTTCTAACCAACCTACAGAGATGTGTTTTTTGACAGCCTGCTTATGGGGCAGGTAGCTAGCGGATCGTTAGGAAAGATTAGATGAATGTGGTCATTTATATCCTTTAAGTGTTACTTAGAAATCTACAGAACCATTTTGTATTATTATAAACAGTTGTGCTGCTTAATTTTTTTTGGAAACCATGATACATACATGTTTCTTTGACCTTCCCATGCAGAACGACCTGGAGCAGGTGTTGCGTCAGATCGGGGACAAGGACCAGAAGATCCAGAATCTTGAAGCTCTGCTGCAGAAGAGTAAGGACAGCGTGAGCCAGCTGGAGGCCGAGAGAGAGGATCTGTGTGCTAAGATCCAGGCCGGTGAAGGAGAGGCAGCCGTGCTGAACCAACTGCAGGAGAAAAATCATTCACTACAGGAACAAGTACTGGACATTGCACTAGTGTTACTAGACAATCCCACTTTATGAACCGGGCAGAATCTGACTCAAGCTTTCCATTCATGTGTTAATTTAGATTACGCAGCTTACTGACAAGCTCAAGAACCAGTCAGAGAGCCACAAACAAGCTCAGGATAACCTTCACGAGCAGGTACAGGAGCAGAAGACCCACCTACGTTCAGCACAAGACCGGTGCCAGGGCCTAGAGACCAACATCTCTGAACTTAACACTCAGCTCACAGAGAGCAAAGAGAAGATTGTCCAGCTAGACACACAGGTACTTGTGTTGTGTTAGTTGATACGATCTTGAGCAAAAATTGATGCACCTCTTAAAGCTACAATATGTCATTTATTTCGCCACTAGGGGTCACTAACCTCTTACAATAATAAAGGCGTAGATTGCTGACAGTGATAAGCATCGCAATAATGTTTATGGATGAGTGAAAACATTCATGTTTTTTAACATGACTGTGGTATTAAGCATGTCCCGATTGCTAATGAGAGACGGATATCAGCGTCACACGCGGATATACATAATTCTTACATAGTTATTTAATGCAAAGTGTCTTTATGGTACGTTCACACCCTGGATGCGAATAGCGCGTCAGGCGCGAATGATTTCAATGTTAAGTCAATGCAGAGACGCGTTACGTGCGTAAAAAATTCCTGCGGCGCGAATGAGCCGTGGAGCGCGGCGCGGAAGACGTGAATATTGAGCATCTGGCGTGTTAAGCTCGAATGATTTAGTTAGTATTATTTTTGCATTCACGCATTTGACGCGAATTCGCAGTTGAAAACTTTGGTTTAGTTCAGATTTTACACCTAGATTAGGTGGATGAGGGCAAGGGTGATCCTCGCTCCGATGCGGGACAACAGGTCATCAAACTGGGCGCGGGACAGGCGAAAGTACCTCTAACAGCGGCCGTCATCCAGCGCAGCTCCTGGAGCGAGCAAATGGTGAAACTAGCCAAACGGTTCACCTCAGAAGGGTCCGGAGGACACAAATATACGGCGACGATGATCCCCGCACCACTGTTCTGCTCTCCAGAGTAAATAGAGAGCGGTGACTCTCTCGATGAATGCTCGGTCGACATAAAAACAATGGCCGCCAACGGATTTCAATTTTTTCAAACTTTTGTTTTTAGGCGCGTCAGTTTCACTCTTGACACGCGAATTAACACAAAGTGGTCAAGTGTCAAACTAGACGCGTCAGGCGCGAATTTGACGCGCGATTCGCGTCCGGTGTGAACGTAGCATTAGAGTGCTTTTTATTTTTATTTATCCCAGTCTAATGATGTCTTATGTTAAATTATTGGTCAAGTTTTTTAATATTTATTTATTTTCATTGAATAATCTAAAAAAAAAACCTCATGCCTTTTTTTTCTTAGCTGAAAGCCAAGACAGAGATGCTATTGTCTGCTGAAGCAGCAAAAATTGCTCAGCGAGCCGACTTAGAGAACCATCTAGAGACTGCCCAGAATGCACTGCAAGACAAGCAACAAGTATGTACTATTGCTATGACACAATTTGATCCTATTATATTTATATTAGTCAAATAGAAGAGTGTCGCGAGTGTTGTAAGTTCATAGAAGTGTTTTTTTTTGTGTGTGTTTGCGCAGGAGTTGAGTAAAGTGCAGGCTCAGCTGGAAGAGCAGGACCGTAGGCTGCAGGAGAAGCAGGAGCAGAGCTCTCAGCTGGAGACCGGTCTGAAAGACAGCAGACACAAACTGTTGACTGCAGAGCAGAGGATAGAGACACTGGAGACCCAGACCAAGGTCAGCATCACTGCAGCACATTTCTGCTCCGTCACTCTCCATGATTTCGTTTTAGAAATGTTTCACGCCTGTTGTGTGTTAGATGTCAAACGTCAATGATCAGACAACAATGTTGACAAGAAATTGGTCTTGATTGATTTCTCTGCTGTTTGTTATTGACTATTTACTTGCGAATATATATTTGGAACGTTTACCTGATGGAGAAATACTTTTTTTGTCTGACATAGAAAGCTGAGGTTGAGATAGTTGAGCTTCGCTCTGGAAGGGAACAAGCTCAGAAGGAGCAGGAGATGCTAAAGAAGCAGATCAGTGAGATGGAGATGAAGACGAAGGAACTGAACCGTCTTTTAGACTCTGAAAAACAAGGGTAGGTACTTCATATTGGAAAAACGTGCAATGTTAAAGACTAAAATAATATGTTTTCGAACAGTTTTTGTTCCTATGTTTGTGTATTTCCTATTGAAACTGGAAATTAGAGTAGGAGACATCGAAGGGTTCATTGTGGTTTAAAAACACACATTTTTGTGTGTGGAAGAGAAAGATTACCTTAAAGATACCCCATATAAAGATACCCTTTATATGTGTGTGCTTAATTTTAGGAGTATACTAGCATAAGAGTTTGGGATCAGAATTTTTAAATACTTTTATTCAGCAAGGATGTGTTAAATTGATCAAAAGTGTCAGTAAAGACTTATTACTAATTTCTATTTTAAATAAATGCTGTTCTTTTGAACAGAAAAGTCTCATGGTTTTATTATATTAAATATTAAGCAGCCAACTGTTATCAACATTGAAAATAAGAAAAAAAAAGTTTCTTGAGCACCAAATTAGCATATTAAAATTATTTCTGAATTATTTCTCATGTGATTAATGACTGGAGTAATGATGTTTAATGGCATAGGAATAAATTATATTTATTCTAAAATATCATTTATTACGCTTACTTTAAATTTCACAATAGATCAAATAAATGTAGCCTTGGTGATCAAAAGAGACTTCTTCTTTCAAAAACCCTTAAACCTTTAATATGAGTATATATCACAGACTTGACTTGTCAATCTTCCCTTTCCTTTCTGTTTCAGAGCTGCCACCAAGCAAGAGGAGTTGAAGAAGGAAACCTCAGCCCTCACAGAAACAAGACAAAACCTGGAGAAGGCAGAGCAGGAGCGTGTGACCCTGCAGTCCAGTCTGGATAAACTGTCTCAGGAGAGTCAGAAGCGGCAGGCAGAGTTGGACAAGAAAGTTAAGGGTCTGAGTGCAGATCTTCAGAAAGCTCAGCAGGAGAGGGAAGCTCAGACTAAAGAAATAACAACAGTGAAAGAGGCTCTGAGCAAAGCTTCTAAAGCCCTGAAAGAGAGTCAGACTCAACTGGAGAAAGAAAAGAGCAGCAACAAGGCCACTTTGGAAGAGAAGGTGGGTCACATGACAGTTTGTCATCAATAAAAGTCATGGCATTGTACAACAAATCTCAATACATTTGGTCACAGTTTTCAAGCAAAAGAAGTTTAATTATCAGCTTTTCTCTAATTTTTAGGAGAAGATTTATCAGAAAGCACAGCAAGAACTTCAGAAAATCACAGAGACCACTTCTAAAGAGCTCAGCCATGTTAAAGGTCTGCTTGAAAAATCAATAGAGGTAAGATTGTGAAATATAACACCTGAAACGTTAATCCCATGTTAGATGAATCATGATATTTCGCAATTGTTGAATTTTCTAGGCAGAAAAGGGTCTACAATCTCAGCTGACCTTACTGAACACTCAGCTCAAACAATCTCAAGAGACACTGAGAGAGAAAGAAAAGAGTGCACTGCAGCTACAGGCAGAGCTGAAGACTACGCAGGGGTCCTTGAGCCAGGAAGTGACGAAACATAAGGCACAAGTGTCTGAGTTGCAGGCTTCCCTCGCTAAGAAGGCACGTACAGTCTTCTTACGCACTAATGTGTCATAAAGTGCACATAAATGTACTCTTAACTCACCCAAATCGACTGTTTTTTTAAGGACAGTCCACCCAAAATTGAAAATGACATCTTTATTTACACACCCTCATGTGTCGTTCCAAATCTGTATAACTTTCTTTCTTCTGTCGAACATGCCAGAAGATATTTTGAAGAATGCTGGGAACCAAAACTGGTTACCAACATTCTTCAATATATCTTTTTTTTGTGTTCTGCAGAAGAAAGAAAGACATATGGGTTCAGAAAAACATTTTTGGGTTGACTATGACACGTTGTTAGACATTAAGATTGAACTACTACAAATAACATTGAATTGTGTTTCAGGCCGAAGAGGAGGCCAAGCTGAAGGAGCAGGTGACGACGCTGTCTAAAGATTTAACCTCTGAAACGAATCGCTGTGCAGAGCTGCAGAAGACCAGCGACAGCACCAAAGAGAGTCTCGCCACCATTCAGTCGGATTACTACGGCAAAGAGTCCGAGCTCTCTGCTGTACGCCAGGACCTCAAGGTCTGTTTTAATCGGTACAAGAACATCCTAATAAATGATTATGTACAGTATGTGATTATTTTCTGTTACTTGCCATGTAGGTGTGTGAGGAGAAGCTGGTTCTAGCTCAGGAAGAGCTGGTGGCCAATAGGAACCAGCTTAGTGCTCACGAAACCCAGATCAAGGAGCTGAAGACGGGCCGCACGACACTAGAGAAAGACCTCGGCAAGAGAGACGAGAAGATCAAGCAGCAGGTGGAGGCTCTACAGAAACTCCAGAAACAACAGGTAACACAATATGCTACAGGTTTTTAAGATATAACCAGTGTGCCCTCAGCTCAGGCAAGGCCTTGAAACACAGGTTTTTCTGTGGTGTGGAAGTTACGGAAATAAATGCCACGGTGCTCTTTGTGTGGCGATACTCTGTTCTGTTTTATTCCAGACACCGTGAAACAACACAACCTTCTGTTCTAGCCAGGAATAGTCATCATTTTATGACTATTTGCTTCATTTGCTTATCAACACAGACATGGAGAATGTAATTTTAGAATGTTTATGGAAATGCCGAGTTGTTTGGCTGACTGTGTGTCTTTGTGTCTTTTACAGGAACAAACAGAGGAGGAGCTGAAGAAGGAGAAAGCTCAATGCGAGGAGCTGAGAGAGTGCCAGAGTGCTCTGGAGCAGGACAAAAACAAACTGTCTGCTGATCTCAAAGCTCTGGCCGAGAAGAATGAGAAGGTCAGTCTGTAGACCTCTTACCTCGCTTTATATGCACATTTAGGAATCGCACTGTTTTCTCATTGTAAAAAAAAAAAAAAGACAGTCTAGTGTTGGCTTTAAAGCTAGCTTGTCATCACGCTTCAAAGGCAAGTAAATTTGAGTGTCATCGGCATACAGATGGAAAGAAACCCCATGTCTTGATAAAATAAAACATATATAGTTTAAACAGTTCTGGGCCAAGAATAGAACCCTGAGGAACGCCAGACCCCAATTTCATTTCGGATGAACACTGTTGATGAACTGAATATGAACTGAATAACTTCTATTAGTTAGATATGAGCGAAACCATTCTAGGCACTGTAACCCGAAAACCCATACACACTTCAAGACAAGAAATGAGAATATTGTGATCGACCAGGTCAAAAGCAGACCAAAATCGCTGATTGGCCGGTATCGGTAGTAAAAAAAAATAATAATATATATATATATATATATATATATTAATCTAATTAATTAGAGGCTTTGTAATTAATTAATCGAAATTAATCACATTTTAATTGTATAAATATTATATATATCAATCATTCATGACTCTTAAAAGTGCAGTTTCAGTACTGTGACGATGTTTAAAACAGACTGAAATTTCTAATAAATATGACTATCATTCAAGAAAGACTGGATACAATTTGTGTCCAGTCAAATAAGCTTGTGCAGATTCAAATCCCACTATGTGTTTATAACTGGGATAATGGTTTGTATGTCGCAGGAGCTGAAGGAGCTTCAGGCAGTGAAGCAGCTGTTGATCCAGCAGAAGTTGGAGCAGCAGGGGAAAGTGGAAGCAGCTCAAGCATCTCTGGAACAGGAGCAGAGAGAGCATCAGAAGACCAGAGACTCGATCAAACAAAAACAGGAGCTTCTCAAAGCTGAGACCGACAAACTACAACAGAAATTGGTACATATTATATTATATTATATTATATTATATTATATTATATTATATTATATTATATTATATTATATTATATTATATTATATTATAACACTTTACAATAAGGTTCATTAGTTAACATCTGTCAATTAACTTAGTTAAAGGAGTAGTTCACTTTTAAAAAACTTTTGCTGATAATTTACTCACCCCCATGTCATCCAAGATGTCCATGTCATTCTCTCTTCAGTCGAAAAGAAATTAAGGTTTTTGATGAAAACATTCCAGGATTTTTCTTCATTTAATGGACTTCATTGGGAACCAAACAGTTCAAGGTCCAAAAGACAGTTTCAGTGCAAACTGTTCAAAGGGCTTTAAATTATTCCAGATGATGAATAAGGGTCTTATCAAGAGAAACAATTGCTCATTAAAAAAAAAAAAAAAAAAAAGTTTAAGTTTTATAAGCTCAAACGGTCGCCTTGCTCTGTTCTGTGATGCGCATTCGTGACTCTCCTGTTCGAACTCGTTCATCAAAATGAACAAATCTTTTTTTTGTGTCATTTGTTTCAATCAATGAACGAAATGAACGAGTTGTCTTGGGAAAATATTTGTTCACTTTGATTAACAAGTTTGAATAGTTTGAATATCACAAACTCGCATCACAGAACAGAGCAAGGCGACCATTTGAGTTTATAAAACTTAAACTTTATTTTTTTTTAAATGAGTGATCGTTTCGATAAGACCCTTATTTATCGTCTGGATTCGGAATCGTTTAAAGCCCTTTGAACAGTTTGCAGTTTGCACTGAAACTCTCATTTGGACTTTGAGCAGTTTGGTTCCCATTGAAGTCCTTTATATGGAGAAAATCCTGGTATTTTTTCATCAAAAACCTTAATTTCTTTTTGACTGAAGAAAGAATGACATGGACATCTTGGATGACATAGGGGCGAGTAAATTATCAGCAAAGGTTGTTTTTTTAAAGTGAACTACTCCTTTAACATGAACTAAGAAGGAACAATATTTCTTCAGCATTTATTAATCTTAGTTAAAATTTATTTCAACTTTTAACAATACGTTTTATTTGTTAACATTAGTTAATTCACTGTGAACTAACATGAACATTAATCAATTAACTTTTTTATATGTATTTATTTGTATTAACTAACACTAACAAAGATGATTGTTAGTGAATACATTAACTGTTAACTAGTGAACCTTATTCAAAAGTGTTACCATATTATATTAATTATTTTATATATTTATAATATTTTTATTGATGTTAATATTAATATTTATTGTAATTTACTATTAGTAAGTAACCTCTATATTACCGACTTATTTAGCAAAATTGCTTTCTAAATTTTCCACAGAAAAGTTTTAATTGCTTCATTTTAGGCATCTGAAGTAAAGGCTAAAGAGGAGATGGCGAAGCAGAGGGAAGAGGCTGAGGTGAAGATTAATCTGCAGGTGACGGCACTAAATGAGAATGTGGCCACGCTGAAGCGCGAGTGGCAGAGCAGCCAGAGGCGGGTGGGTGAGCTGGAGAAACAGACGGATGAGCTGAGAGGGGAGATCGCCGTGTTGGAGGCCACCGTCCAGAACAACCAGGACGAGAGACGTGCGCTGCTCGAGAGGTTTGATGGCTCTAGACATTTTTTTACGCCGAAATAAACAAACAGAAAGTGACCATTCATTAACCATAAGTCCAGTCATATTTTCTCATTCACTCATTTTCATGAGTCGCTCCTGTTCCAGGTGTGTCCAGGGTGAGGGTGAGATTGAGAAGCTTCAGGCTAAGATGGTGGAGATGCGCAGGAAACTGGATGACACCACGGCCGCCATGCAGGAGCTTGGCCGTGAAAACCAGTCTTTACAGGTCAGACTAACCCCAACACCAGACGCACTGAATTTACAATGTTGTTTGGCAACCCTAGCTATGGAAACTTTAGTATTTAGTCGTATGTTACTCTGTTCCAGATAAAACAGTCGCAGTCCCTCACACGGAAGTGGGCGGAAGATCACGAGGTGCAGAACTGTATGGCTTGTGGGAAAGGCTTCTCTCTCGCTGTCAGAAAGGTTAGCACCATGCATTCACACACACAGAATGAGATCAATACAGTGTTAATGATCAATCCCTGTGTATCTCTACTAAAGTGGGTCACGGAGTGTGTAGTCAATGAAACGACAACCACAATGTTTTTCTGATGCAAAGATTTTATTTTGAAAGACGTGTGTTTTCTTAACTTGTTGCAAAATAAAATGTCTCTCACCTCAGAAAAACAAACTTTTCTATCCTGTCAGACGTTATTCGGTGCCGCTGTATAAAGAGCAAATGAAAGTATTAGCATGCTACGAGTCATGATATTACCAGAAAGTACCTATAAAATAATAATTTGTTACTGTAGTTACCAAAATACCACTTTATTTTCACTTAGTTTGTTATTTTCTATATTTAATTGACTGTAGGTTATACCAACTTGCTAACTTTATTACGTTATCAAAAACTACTTCAGGTCTAATATTTAGCATCCTTACCTTATACTGTTTATTCATCAGTGGTAGTGATATTCTTACAAATTATGTGTACGTTAAAGGTGCAATGTGTAATGTTTAGGAGGATCTGTTGACAGAAATGCAATATCATATACATAATTATGTTTTCAGTGGTGTATAAAGACCTTACATAATGAACCGTTATGTTTTTATTACCTTAGAATGAGCCATTTTTGTCTTCTTACATTGAAATAGCCATTTTTGCGCTGACATATTTCTACTGTAGCCCTAAACAGACAAACGCGTTTCGTCACGATGTTGTTTTTCATGTAAAAAAGCTAGCTAAAGTCAGTAAATATAAAACACTGACACAATGATAAACAAGTAACAATAATATTCGCAACAACATTGTTTAATTGAATAATTAATAAATGTAATTATAAATTTAATAATATAAATGTAAATTATATACATATTATATAATTTAATATATATATATATATATATATATATTACGTTTATTGAATTATCTGATATCAATTGTCCTAAAATCCCATCATTAATAGTTTAACTTATGCATTTTTACAGTTGTATAATAATTGTATAATTTATTTTAATGTATTCACATAAACACCTCACCATTACATTATATTATATATAAAAAAAAAATTAAAAAAAAATCAAGCATTATTTGAAGTGTGCTTCCCATCCTGTAGATCAGACATTTATGTCCCATGTCTTACTGAATAAAAATTTTACATTTTACAAAAAGCATTTTGTGTTTTGGAAAAACAATTCACATTTTGGTGAACTGTATGGAAACCACATAAATTAGCTCGATTAATCGCATCCAAAATAAAAGTTTGTGTTTACATAATATATGTGGGTGCTCTGTGTATAATTATTTTGTATATATATAAATACACACACATGCATGTATATTTAAGAAAAAATATTATTTATGTATAAAATATTTATATTTATATATAATATAAATTATAAATAAACCTATATACATATATAAAATATTTTTTAATATATACAAGCATGTGTGTGTATTTATATATATATATATATATATATATATATATATAAAATAATTATACACAGTGCACCCACATATATTATGTAAACACAAACATTTATTTTAGATGCGATTAATCGCGATTAATCGTTTGACAGCCCTAATATAAAACTTTGAATTGTAACACCAAGATGCAAATAAAAGTTCCAAAATGTGCATCAGAAGGAAATATCTGAATAACTAAAATATCACTAAATGAATCGGTACCCAAATCAGATTGTGAATAAAATCTGATACCCCAGCCCTAACAATCACAGCATCTAACTTTTATCACTTCCAGTCTATTAATCAGTAACGTTAACCTAAACCTAACTTAACCACCTGACCTGAATCATGACCCCCCCCCTCTATTCCCCCAGCACCACTGTCGACACTGCGGTAACATCTTCTGCGCAGAATGCTCGGCCCGCAACGCCCTGACGCCCTCCTCCAAGAAGCCCGTCCGAGTGTGTGACGGTTGCTTTGATGAGCTCCAGGGCTGATGCCCCCCCTCCCCCACAACACAAAAACCCGTCCCCTGCAGCCCTCGGCGTCCCGCTCGCCCTGACCTCTCCCCAGGAAAGATGAGCAACCAGGAAAGGCCACCGGAGGGCTGCAGGGACCACTGAGGAACAGCATGTTGCTGAAAATCAGATTAAAATTAGACCGGCCAGATTGGCTGTCCTCATCTGTCCAGTGCCTTTGCCACTTACGAGGCCACTTTCAGACCCAGAGGAATTAAAAGGGAGGGATCGCTTGAGCAGATGGATTACTTGTAATATAAAGATCAGCTCCTTACAGATGTTTTATGCTAAAGTACAGTAGCTTTGGCACTCAGGATCGAGGTTTACATTGATATCGTCTTTTGGAAAGATTTAACTATAAGAGGCCGAGGGCGTATACAGAGGGGTTCCGAGGAGAACCAAAGCTGTCCGCAGGGTCCTAATTTGATGTATCGTATTTGTAAGTAAATGTACAGACAAAAGAGGCACATGTGAATAATTCCGATATAACTGTCACTCTATGGAGACTGTAACATTTGTCATTCAGTGTGGGCATGTTAACATAAAGTATGTGGGTGTACATGCTTGCTTTGCTGCTCTTATGTCTGTTGAAATGAAACACTTGATGTCTGTTTTGCATTCATAATCTCACCAGTAGAAGTTGGTGATTCTTTGAAAGATTTACACACGAAAATCCTTTGCTTTTATCAAATTATGCACGTCAGATATACGTGCCCTGCTTTTAAGCAATAACCGTGCATTGGGTGTGATTGTGTGCCTGCTAGTATATTGAAAAAGAATGACAGACCGCTGATTGTTTTTAAAATCTCATTCTCGGCTGCTACGTTTTTCCTCATTCATGGCATCTACGTACTTAAACGTGTAGTTCACCTAAAATTGAAAATTCGGTCAAAGTTTGCCCTTTCAAACCGGTATGACTTTCATTGTAAAAACAAAAACTGACACGGGAAACGACGCGGGAGTGCGTAAATGACGAGACGATTTTCGTTTTAATTTTTATAAACAATTCTTTTATCAGAAGTGTGGCGAGATGGTCAGTGCGTCGTTGTACCCAGCTGATAAAAATAAGTTTAAGGAATGTTTTGCTAACGTTGCCATGTTGCTAACGTTATTTCTGAACGTTCAAAATGTCACTTTAAAAAAAAAAAAAAAGAAAGAAAAACGTGTAGAACTGATTGTGAACTGATTTAACTGCTGTAAAGTACGCTTCACTGTAAGTGGTTTGTCCCGTTGCCACGTTCTCGCTTAAAAGGTTGCACATCGACTTGCAGCATCAATGGCACTGTTTGTTGTCAGTGTGATTCTGATGTATTGATTCCTTGCTTTTTGTGTCGGTAGATGGATTCAGGAGCATAATTCATAATGATTTTTATGTGTAGGAAAAATCAAAAAAGTGTCTCAGGATGTTTTGCGCACATCACCAGCTCAGTCAAGTAACGTGACTAAAGAAAATGGAATATTATATGCCCTTTAACTTGATTTCGAATGGAGTGTGTGTTGCAGTCAACAACAGTATCATATCACTCAGTGCCAACTGGTCGAAACCCTCCATCTGACATCACGTCCTGTTTTTTCTAACCATTAACAATGCTGTAATTATTAGCAGTGTTTGTAGCACATTCAGAAGAAAAAAACAGGTTGTGCAGCTTGCAAATAAAGCTAAGTTGTGACCGCATATGCAAAGTGCATCACTTGTATCAGCACTACACACTAACAGTATCTGTTATATGGTTGTTTATTATTACTGATTGACACATTTTCATTTGCTGAACAGCAGGGTGTTCACATTCATGTCGTGTTGGTGTAGGTGTGTGCCTTATGTCGAGCTTTGTTTGTGTCATCTTTGTGTATTTCTGAATGCAGAAAAAGTCCCACCTGGCAAAAACCATCAAATATATGTTGATTTATTTCACAGGTTTCTACACATTTATGATGTGAAAGTAATATCAGACGTAGATGAAAAATCAATCAGAATATTATTTAAAAAAAGCATAAAAATAGTGCAAAAATATCAAAATCCAAAGGTAATTTCAGGTTAACTGGGGTCATGACTTAAATGAAGAATGGGTGAATTGCCTGTTTATTGTTATTGATGTTTTCTAATTTTCCATCCTGTTTAAAAGTAAATAATAAACTAGTTGTTTCTATTTTCTTTCAGTGTCATGCAGTGTCATTTTACTATGATGTTTTAAGGTTTTTTTCCTTATTAATTTTAGTAATTTGTCATGTGCTTTTGTCAGTTTTATCGTTTTTTATATTTCTATACAGCTTTATTTATTTATTTTTGTAATTTAGCAAAGTTGCAGCGCTGAAAGTTCAGTGTAAGCAAAGATATCTTTCTTGTCTTAAAAATCAGGAAGTATATTGCCTACAAAAACGACTCGATTGGGACTACAGCTGGGTTTTAGACGTCACTAACCCATACATTTGCATCAACCCTACCTCCGGAATATGCAGACAAGGGCATGACCATATTTCTGCGGCTAGTCGAGTGTGTTGTGTTCACCCAGCCGTTCGAGCCTCCCACGGTTCGTCAACAATGGATACAATTTATCTTTGATTATGTTCCTGAAAGTGACGATCGTAATTTAGCTCTCTGCGCTGCGCATTTACGGAAGACAGCTTCCAGAATCTCCACGAGTTCAACACCGGATTCAACAAGAAACTGTTACTAAAACATGAAGAAGTTCCGACTTTAAAACCAGAGGCAGCAGCTGTTGGGCCACAACCTGTAAGTAGGCTAAGACTTCATCATTTTAAATGTATTTGCATGTATAATTCCAGACGTAGCCTTGTGTTTTATTTTTATTTTTTTCAAATGCCAGCGCTCAGGAAGTCAACCGCTCGTTCAGGGCACAGAGGAGAGCGCGGCTGACAATAAAGGTGAAGTTTATGAAAAATAAGATGTTTTTTAAAAAAAAGAAAAACCACAAAGACATGTTATATTGCCCCCCATAAACACAATCACGCAAAAAAAAAAAAAAAGCAGTCAACCCCCCCCCCCTTTTAAACCCAGACATCTATTTGATGTATTAGTGTTTGCTCATCTGCAATACGTCTATAGGATGTTTCCTGTCAGATGTAAAATAGATTTTTATATAATGTATTTAGGATGTTTATGTTTTACAACGTATGTGGACCTGACATCTTGAAAATGTCTATTAGATGTTTGTAAACAGCTTCCCAGATTAAGAGATCTTTAACTAACATCTTGCAGACGTACGTGTGGGCGTAACTGAAAGTTGAAGTTTCTCTTCTAATATTTTTATTTTATCAATTTGTACTAAAAATGGAAAGTAAAAAATTTCTTCGTGTTTATTCGTGTACAGACGACCATATTGTCAAAACGATCCCCGTTCAAACGAATCCGCGAGAACAACTAAAGACTCACCCTTGCTTTATTTCCATTTACTGAAACAATTTTTGGTTCCAGTTTACACGACAACGTTTTCAACTAAAATTGGAAAATATTTTTAGACATTTTGGGGCAAAAGTTGCAAATTTTCGAAAACTATACCATTATCGTCTCACTATAGACAAAAAAAAAGAGAACTACGTGTTCTTCAGTCTATAGACGTGTAACGTTAGAGTTTCTAAAGTTTTACAAATATGTCAATAAAAATAAATAAATAATAAACATAAAAAAACGTTAGTTTCTTTACAAGGTGACATCGCCAAATACAGGCCTGGCAGCATAATGCAGCATTTTTGTTATTTTCGAGAATTTCGGATCATTTTGACAGCGTTGTCGTGTGTACATAAAAATGCACGGGAAAACCGTTTCCATTTCCTAAGTAATACAGTTCACAATCTATAAAACAACTTGACAATATTTTATTTTTCATGGTCAAACATGGAAATTATTTCCAACACAATGTAGAGCATTTAAAAAAAAAAAAAAAAAGAAATTTTAATTTATACAAATGTGAACAACTGCAAACTTACAAACACTGTAGTACTACAATCTACATGGATTCTTTATCTAAGCATTTAACTTTCCCACAATACAACATGTTCATGTGACAAAAACAAAATCATCATATTTATTTGCAACAGGAACATGTAACATTGTTCATTCTCCAAAACATAAAAAAGGGAATTGAAAAATGGTTCCTCATGTGCTGTTAATCCATTTAACACACACACACACACACACAAAAAGATTAAATTAATGTTGCTTTAAAATCAACCCTAATTGTCAAATATTGTTGTTACAAACCTCTATGACTTTCTTTCTGGCATATAAAAGGAGATGTTCAGCGCAATGTGAGCCATATGGAGGACTTTCATAATACTCAAAGGTGATTTCTATCCTTAGAAGCGTCCCACTGTACCGTTCTGTTAAACGTCTGTCCCACGGAAGGTTCGGAGCGACATGAGGGTGAGTAAATGATGACAGAATTTTTATTTCTGGGTGAAGTAAATGAGACGCATTGTCCAATGCAGTGGTCTTTTGGCACTCTGGAGGAAGTTCTACAGTATAAATTAGATCTGTGAAGACTCCAGATAAAGAAAAGAGTTCTTGACCCGCGGCTGCTGACGGTCCTGCTTCAGCAGAGAATTGATGGAATCCTCAATCACAGACACCCACGCTTTCTGAAACATACATAACATAGGGCCTGAATAAGAAATTATTGAATTTTTGTTATTGAAATGTAACCTTGACATTTTTGCTGCATTTATTTAAACAAAAACAAAGTAATATTGTGAAAAACTATAACAATTAAAAAAAAAATTTGTTCTATTGTAATATATTTGAAATGTAATTTATTCCTGTGATGGCAAAGCTGAATTTTCAGCATCCATTACTAGTCTTCAATATGGTTGCTGAGTAAACTAACTAACTTATCTTAAAGTATAGTTCACAGCAAAATGACAATCTTGTCATCATTTCCTCTCCCTTGTTCCAAACCCGTATACTCGGGATACTCCACTTTTTTTGGAAATAGGCTCATTTTTAGAGTTAAACAGTTGGGTTTTACCATTTTCGAATGTATTCAGCCATTTTTTCTGATTTTTAGAAGAATATCAATAACCAGACAGCTTCTGGTCTCATTGACTTCCATAGTATATATTTCTCCTACTATGGAAGTCAATGAGACCAGAAACTGTCTGCTTACTGATATTCTTCTAAATATCAGAAAATCAGCTGAATGGATGCGAAAACGGTAAAACCCAACTGTTTAACTCTGGAGGAGTGGTAAAATGAGCCTATTTCCAAAAAAAGTGGAGTGTCCCTTTAATAATCAAACAGCTGACAGTAGCCATTGACGTTCTTAGTCAAAAATTATAATAAAAAAAACTATTTACCTTGTTTGTTTGTGTTGTTGAAGCATATTAATAGTTTAAAAAGGTTTTAAAGGTTTTAACACAGGTTTGGAACAACTTGAGGGTGAGGAAATGAAGACACAATGGCAAGTGATTAAAAAGGTTGTAATTTCGAAGAAAGCATCTGCTAAGAACATTCAAAGTAATGTCATTTAAACATGACATTAATATTGAGTAACCTGATGATGTTTGGCATGTCAGCACTAGTTGATCTTGCGAATTAGGAGTGTTGGGTGGAAATCAAAGCCTGGGTCTGTTGAAATTCAACATAAAAGCTGAATCTTCTATTCACCTTCATTGATTCAGTCTGGGCTTGTAAAATGAAGACTCCAATGCATTGCTGGTAACGATTCTGGTGCATTATTATGAATGAATTAGGCAGACCAGAGGCTGAAACATTCAAAAGACAACAGTGAACACTTTCAGTGTTTGTATCGACATCGTTATTGTCAGTGCTGATCACATGGATTCATACTCAATGGAAATGCATGCATTGCTAAGGGATTACGTAACTGCACTAATCTGCAACATGACCTTAATTCAGAGAATGTGTCATGGAATGTGTGAGTGTGTGTGTCATCAACACCTGTGGCATTGATCTGGTCTATGTTCTTTAACTGTAGGCGGTCCAGAGAGATGGGCTGGTCCAGGACAGTGAAACTACAGCCCTCCTGCAATAAGAGCTCAAGCTCTTGGCCCGCAGCCGGACGAAGGGGGTTCGACTCCACTACGCCAGACTTCTACAACGTAAAACACACAAGCCTGCGATTACAGCCGTTTAAGAGTTTGGCCATTCTCAGGTAGATGAATGTTAACTTGTGCTTAAAGGCAACATAAAAATACTTGTTAACCCATTTTGCTTCAGTATTGTGCTGTATTTCCAAAAAAATGGAATTTGACTTTTCTTTTACTGGTATTTGGTTGGATTGTGAAAAGTGTCCTTTCCACACCAAATAATGTAAACTGATATTACATGTAAATAAAAATCATGCAATATATACAACTATTGGTAAGATTTTAGAAAAAACAAAATGGATTACATTTACAGTATAATGAAACTATAATATGTATTTTATTTCAGTAAAAGCCCCAAATAACTCCAGGGAAATATACACTAATACTGTTTGTTAAATTTTTAATGTTTTTGAAAAAAGTCTTATGCTCACCAAGATACCAAAAATACAGTAATATTTTATTATAATATTAATTACAGTATAATTACAATTTAAAATAAATGTTTTCTACCTTTATATAATTTAAAATGTAATTTATTCATGTGATGGCAGAGCTGAATTTTCAGTTTAATGCATCATTGTTGAATAAAAATATTAATTTCTTTAAAAAAAAAAAAGAATTTTAAAAAACCCTAACCTTTAAACGGTAGTGTATATACAGTAATACTAATCGTAAATGAATTAATTTTTTGATTTCATGTTAGGCATTTTAGCACTATAAATTGCAAAATAAGCTTTCATCATTGTGATACATCTCATAAAACGATAAAATACATTTATATAAGTATATTCAACTTTTTATCTGAATTTACATTAGTCAGTAAAATTTTATGATCTGTCATAATCCACTGATCTCTATTTAACCTTACTGTGTAAAAGTGAGTAATGGCTTGAATCAATAATCACTCCCAGACAGAATCAACAAATCTATTTTCACATTACCGTGACACGCTCGTACGCATCACCCATGCTTTGATTTATGTCAATAGAGGAATGGCTGCCAGGCATTTTACAGTAATAACACCAAACAGTCACGCTTAAAAATCACACATAACCGCACCTTTTTGCTGCGCTTGATCTTCGTGATTAG